GATAATCATTTTTAACAAAACTGATTCTTTGTCTTTATGTCACAGGTCATGGCATCCAATAAATAGACTGTCAACCTGTGCATGTTTATTTGGGAGTAAGGCCATTTGAACTCAGTAGAACATACTTCAGAGTAAACAAGAGGTGCTTGGGCGTGAAGCCTCAAAATAAAGTAGCTCACTCCATCTACTGGTGAACATCAGTAATGCCATGATTTAATTTTCGGTGTTCAGGAATGTGGAATCAAAACCACTTCACCATAATTGTAAGGGCAGTGTGGATTGAATATAGTTGCCACTGAATTGTGGGTTGTTCTTAATAGTGGAGCTGTTGCTATATGCAATCCCTGCCTTCTGGTTAACTTTGCACTGTTGTCAAGATCCTGGGGTTTGTCATAATTTCCATTTTATTTTGATTGGAAACTCCCCATTTGGCCCAGCTGACATAGGATGTCATAATAGCCTTTGAACTGACTATCTGGAGATAGCCCGGGCAGCTCCAGACCAGAGCCAGACTCAATGAATTGTCTTGAATTATCTCAGCCTCCTTCCCCACTCCCTCCTATGGTATAGCAATGCTACTTGGGGAGCGGGGGAGTGCTCTGATTGGTAGAGACCTTCCCAGAGTTGCCAGGTTCATGCAAGTAAAAAGGCAGGATGGGAACTTATTTCCACCTTCCTGGATCAACTTGCCTTTGGACTTGTGAGTTCTTGGATTCTGGATTGGGCTCTGTCCTGCTGGGAGACCAGTAATCTATAGGCTAGCTGTAAGTATTGTTTTACTAAAATTCATGGAGCATTGTTTGAAAGGCTATCTTTGATCTTTGCCTATCTTTTTACTCATTTCCCTTACTTAAATAAACTTCATGTTTACCTTTAGCGCTGTGTGTGCCTCCTTCCAGTAAAGATCAGTGTTCAGTTCAGCACCTTCTTCTGGGTTTGCTGCTGTTAAGTCATGGGTCCTCAAACTACGGCCCAGGGCCCGGATCCGGCCCACCAGGGTCATTTATCTGGCCCGCCTCAGAGATTTTTAACACACCATGTGCACGCCTGCCACCACCTGCCTTGCCCCCCGTGCGGGGAGGTGGCGGCTTGCTTGCAAGGAGATAGTTTTGGACTCGCTAGGAGACAACAATCTGCAAGCAAGCAAGCAAGCCACTGCATCACACATCTACCACTGCATCGTGGCACGTGCCTGCCCTGCCTTGTCTCCCCTCTCCACCCCCACTTCCGCGCCGGCCTGCACACCCTACCAGCACCACCTTTCCGGTCCACACCCAGCACCCGCACCTTTCAACTGGCCCCCTGGTGAAAAAGTTTGAGGACCCATGTATTAACTAATGTTTTAGGCTCAGAGCCTTGAAATAGAGGATGTCAATGTCAACCCCTATTATGGCACCCAAACTGTGCCATAAAAGGTTTGAGAGCCCCCTGCTCAAGCTGAAGTCATCATGGCAGACTAGAGATATTGATTCATCCCTGCCTACACTGTAGGGAGTTTGGGCAACCACATATTTTCCTTCACTGTTGTTAACCATGAACAACCTGGACTTCAGAAACTAGCAACAAATCATGTGTTCACTTCCTGAGATGTTCATGGTTAACAACCCTTAGTTAAACCATAGTGCAAGATTTCTATGAAATGACAGCCCTCATTTCAACAACAGTCTTCAACAATAAAGCATCCTGGATGTGTTTCAGTGAACAGGACAAACATCAGGCCCAGGTGGAGGTGAAGCACAAGATGGCCCCCCATCCCATGCACAGAAGTCAACTAGACTAGCAACTAAAGCTTACTGGAACAGTGAAATCGCTACTGAGGGCCCCAGCTTGTTTAGGAGGTGCAGAACGGACCATTTGGCACTCACAGCTCTATCCTCCAACAGAGAACAGCCTGGAGGAATGGCCTGGGGAGCTATGACTGCTGGCCCAGCCGCTACCTACTGTCAGAGGTGCTGGTGTCACACTGCTTGATGCAAGGGCTGGCTGCAGCTTCCATTCTTCTCTCTTTGAGTATGTGAATATACTCTACCCTCCCCTTGCCACACACACCTCTCTTAATCTTTTCTCAAAGCACTTTCTGGTCCTGACATGGTTCTCTTCAATGTTCTTTCAGTCTTGAACTACAGTGTCCAGAAAGAAATTCTGTATGCCGGCTTTACTGCTACTGAAGCGAGCAGCATTGTCATGTCAACACTGTCTCATGCTGAATTCTGCTAATATGTGCGGGATAAGAGAGCACCAACCATTTTTTAAAATCTCATGATAGCATATTGTTTGTGTTCTACTTCCTAGGCTCCTCATGCAAAGTCTTGCGTTTCAGCTTCACCTTAGTGCTACAAAGAGGAGAATATGCCAGTGCTTGTACTGTTTTTTGCCAAGTTCAAATGGGACTATTGGCATCAGCATGTGTGCTTGGAGTCATTCCAAATGAGGGATTGCCAGAGGATTGTTGCACAAATTTTAAGGCAACCTTTGTACCTTATTTCTATGCATAGTGCTTCCCATTAAGTGCTAAATTGCATAACCTCTTCAAACTTTATCCTTGTAGAAGCAATGAGTCTGCTAAAGGGAATGCACTCTTGTAGCCAGATACACAACCCCTAGATTAAAATCAATACTCTTTAAGTATTTTGTGAATGCAGAGCTCAAATATGGGGAACATTCTGAAGATGTCTGATTTTGCATGTCAGAATTGAAGTTTAAGTCTCTAGTACTTAACAGCTATAAAGATAGTTTTCAATATGTGGACAGTGCCTGCTGAAAACTCAGAAGTTGTATGTCGGGTGGGGAGGAGTGTTGAATAATCAGGGGCAAAGCTCAGTGACTTGGACAGATTTCCAAGTCTAAATATGCCAATAAAAGGATGGGTATACACCAACACTTGACAGACTTTCAGGCTTGCAAGATCTATTTTGTTTTGTCAAGAACTATAACAATATCCAAGCGCAAAATAATGGCTCTAGGAAAAGCACATCTTTTCAAAGTCCAAGGTATTAGAAATAAAAAACAGAGTGCCTCCAAACATGTGCTCAGCCCAGGAATTTATTCTCAGTTCTAAATATCCTTCATCATCAAATCCTATTTTTCCTCCAAGCAACACTGCTAAGCTGGCTTTTTGTAACATTTTGCCTGATGAAAAGATCTAGGGATCTTGAAGGCCGCAACATGTGTTTATGTTGTTCCCACCTAGTTGTCCAAAGGCATAAATATTTCTTTTGAAAAAATGGAACTGAGCATGTTCCAGCTGATTTTTAGATGTCGTTCCAAGATGGATGTGAAACTGAGAGCTCTTTTAAGGAAGACCAAGATATAAACCAGCCCTTTTTTCATTTTAGTGCTGTCGGCTACATACGTTACAAAAGCTTACTCATTTTTTATGATCTTTTGGTTGGTATTACACCAATATGGACATGGAATATTTCTGAAGGTTCTTCCGCACTTGCTGTGTTTTGCAATCTCCTATCTTGCCTTGGGTTCTGTATCCTTCAACACACACTCACACACTCAAAAATGTAACTCAGACAAATTCAGCAATATTTACTCTGGGGAGGATGTAGAAGCTATTGTACCCATGTCCATGCTAACACAATGTTTAAAAGGCACCCCCACATTTTCTCCAAGAGGTAAGATGGGAGGAGTGGTGGTTTACCAGTGTCCACAACACTGGGACTTAGGAATGCTATCTATCTTTTTAGAAATAGTAAGGCACTAATTGATCACCACAGACGGGGACTGTAGCCAAGAAATTAAAAGACACTTGCTCCTGGAGAGGAAAGCAATGGCAAACCTAAACAGCATACTAAAAAGCAGAGACATCACCCTGGCAACAAAAGTGCGTATAGTTGAGGCCATGGTTTTCCCAGTTGCAATGTATGGCTGTGAAAGCTGGACCATACGGAAGGCTGAGCACCAAAGGATTGAGGCCTTTGAATTGTGGTGCTGGAGGAGACTCCTGCGAGTCCCTTGGACCGCAAGGTGATCAAACCGGTCAGTCCCAGAGGAGATCAACACTGACTGCTCTTTAGAAGGCCAGATATTGAAAATGAAACTCAAATACTTTGGCCACCTAATGAGATGGAAGGACTCCCGGGAGAAGAGCTTAACGCTGGGAACAATGGATGGCAAAAGAAGAAGGGGACAGCAGAGAATGAGGTGGCTAGATGGAGTCACTGAAGCAGTTGGTGTGAGCTTAAGTGGACTCCGGGGGATGATGGAGGACAGGAAGGCCTGGAGGAATGTTGTCCATGGGGTCGTGATGGGTCGGACACGACTTCGCAACTAACAACAACAACAGCACTAATACTATTGGGCATGACCGGGCACTTTTCCAGTATAAGCCCAATAACCTGAATGGAACTTGGGGCTCAGTCCATTGGATATGCCTTTGAAGAGGGAGAGGGGCCCACACTCTTCCAGCTCTGCAAAACAGCTAGACTGCGGATTTCAGCCAACTGTAGTGGTTCTAAGGAGGAAAGGAAGAGACTGAGGCCCGGCCAGCATGTGCCTCATTTTGATGGTGCAAGTCCCCTCCTTGTTCCTGCAAACTGCAGGATGCAATCCTGTGCATGGTTGGACAAAACATTGCCACAACTTAAAGCATAAATAAGACATACAAAATACAAAACAGCTAAAGTTCCATTAAAACACCCAAACATAATAAATTACACAAATAGTAACCGTATAATCTAAAGAACACCAAGGGGACTCAAACAGCAGAGTGAAATGGAGAAATACTTCGCCTAGGCTCAGGAATATCATTCTGCCACCTGCAACCTTCTCATAATGCTTCCAGTGAAAGTCAGCTCTGCCCCTTTTGACACAGAAAAAGTCCTACAATTCCTAGCATGGCCGAAGCAAGCATTTCCAAGCTTTCCTCCTGAAAGCAAGAACCGAAACAACAAGCCACAAGCGGCCTAGTCGGGCACAAGCCCTTTAAAAGAAGGAGGAGCTGACTGCGTGACATGATGTCATTATACGTGTGAAGCAGGAAACGGAAGAATGTCGAGGAACCATTTTAAATGTCTCGAGCTGAGTTCTGGGCGCGGTGAGGCGTGTTTGGGAGATTCTGTATGAGCTCCGAAAGTTAATTTGGGTCGTGCCTCAAGGTACGTGGAATATATTAATCTCTGCTCTTCCCTCGTTCTGCCTAATTTCAGTGGGCTCAGAGCATTCCTGCAGAGGAGCTAGCGAGATGTTAAAGACAAAACAAAACTGAATCAAAAAGGCTGGACTATCTCGTCTTGACTCTGTGGGGAGGAATAGGAATAAAAGGTGCGCTTTCAGTGGCATTTAAGGGTTGGGGTTACGGATACTGAACTTTACTCAGGATTTCATTGAGGCTAACTAAGTGTGCAGTCCTATGCGATCAGAAATTAAGTCCCATTCAATTTAAAAGAGGAACTCCCAGCTAAGTGGATGTAGGATTCTGTCCTTAGCTTTGGTTGGGCAGTGGCGTGTCCGCCTTATAGAAAGTAGCAAAGAAAGGAGTCTGTGATCATTCTAATAAATCCACATTGCAGGGGCTGGCTCGGAGTACAGCAGCTCAGCAGAGTCGCACAGTGTTGTGCCCATTTTTCTGGGGCAAAGTAGAGAGTTAAAGTAATGTGTGATAATCCTGTAGTGCTATCTGTTCTCCTGGTGTGAGTGTCTTTTGGGAAAGCTGAGTATGTGTTTGTGTGTAGCAGTCGTGCCGTCTTCTTAGAGACAGCGGTGAACCTGCAGGTTTTACTTTCTGTTTCCGCACGGGGACCTGAGCGCTGGGCCTGCTCTTGCCGGATCTGTGGTGGAGCTGGGGCGGCGTGCTGTGCGGGCCTTCCGAGACTGCTGTTTTCCGCTGTATTGAAGCAATAAAAAAGGCCGGTAATGAAGATGTGCGAATCAGTTTGCGTGTTCCCTGCAGAGCAGAGTGTGGTTATGGATTGCAGACTCACCTCCACCTAAATCACCTCCAGTGCCATTATAGGGGTGAATGGAGCCAAGTCAAAAACTAAAGATTTTAGCTGTAGGCGGAAAACCATTTTTTGGGAGTGATGTATATTCTTTGGGGGAGGGGACATTTATGGGTGTGGTGGAGGGGAGGGCTCTACAATTCATGGTGTACCGATTTCTATCTTCCTTAATAGATGTGGTGCCCAGGCATTGTAATTACTGACGCAATTTGGAAATGGTACCTCTGAACTTGAACATAATTTGGGATTTTTGTTTATTTGCAACAGTGTTTTGTCTGTCAGTGTTTCCAAGTTGAAGAAAACATGATAGAATGGGGGTGAGAACAGCTGAGGTGCTTTCCGGAGAAATCATGTCAGTGTTGCAATAAATGATAAAGAAATTATCCAGTATCATGTTAAGTCTGCTGTGCTGTATTTATGCAGCTAGATTTTTCTCTTGTTCTTAACATTTTTTAATATATTCCTCATTTCTAATAAAATTCTGTTGGAGTTCACAATGCCTTTTGAATGCTCTTCTGCATTGGTGTCAAATTCCCATGATTTTTGCCACTTCTGTGTAGATTCCTAAGTGTCATGAAATGTGATTCAAAGCAATTGACTGCACACAAAGGAAAACACAAAGACGTGTTGTGATGTGCAAATTAAAATCACATACCACTGCATGGCTTCTCTGAAGCAATATTTCCGAAAGCAATTGCTACTAAATCTTCCCCTCATACAGAGGCCAAGTTATTGAATAGAGAGTGAAAATGTAGGTTCCTTCAGCTTCCTGAATCTTCTGGTAAAGGATATATTGTGTCAATACAAAGAAGATAATACTGCTAAATCACAAGGCAGTTGTGATGCTATTCCACATTTGCGCTCCTGCCCCTTGAGATCAGTGGCAGAGACTCTCCTCCGGGAACCCTCTGTGAAAGACATTAGGAGATTGAGTACCTGGAGGAGGGCTTTCTCTGCGGTGGCGCCCCACCTATGGAATGCGCTCCCCAGAGAGGTCCGCCTGGCACCGTCGTTATTTGTTTTTCGGCACCAGGCCAAGACCTTTTTATTTAAACAATATTTTAATAACTGTTAATATTATTTATTGGTTTTAATTTCTACAGCCAGGGTGAATTTGCATTTTATATGTACTATTTATATGCTTGTTTGTTTATTGTACTGGAAGCCGTCCCGAGGCTCATGCGAATGGGACGGCCTACAAAAACTCCAAATAAATAATTAATTCAACCATCATATCATTCTGAAAAAATACAGAAAGAGAATCAGGGAAATCTGCTTGTAATACCATTATAGATGTAGCTAAGTTTGTGCTGAACTATGATGAAGCAGCAATTAGTTATGATAGATGTTCAAGCACTCTGCAGAAGAAAAACTTTGGATCTAAGGCATCATCTGGCAAGCTACAAATAAAGGTTCCTCTCACATGGTGGAAAGAAGCCTGCAAAACCTGGCTGTTGTCCAGAATTTCCGTAGGTGTTCAGAGCATTCCACCAACAGCAATTGGAAGGCTTTCAGCTCAGTCAAGATGAAAAAGAGGAACAGACAAATTAATATAGAACTAAGCTTGTCTATTTTGCAAAATCTTTTGATTCCGGATGATGAGTCACAAGAACAAATAGTAAAGGCAACATGTGATAGGTTATTAGTGACCACAGACTCACGCATCTTTTAGTGAAAAAGAATGTTGAACTGGTTGTTCTGAATAAGATTTTTCTCAACTTGAAAGAGGACCAGTAAGCTGTGCAGAGAGTGAATGAAGCTGAAGGTGTCACAGTTACTTCAGCAAAAGAAAATGAAACTCTTGATGTAAGTTCTATGGGCTGTCTAGAAACAGTGTATACTTTCAATGTCATATTTTGTTAAATATAAACAAACATCAGGGAAGCATATGCTTTAATTTTTTTTTGCAAATATTCCAGTGTAATCATTTCACATAAAGCTTTGAATGTGTTTGAATATAATATTTAAACTATATTGTTTAATATAATTTCCCCCAAACAACGATTTAGGAAACTATTTGGCTTCTCCGTATTCTGACCTAACAGTAGGTTCTGTAGTGATACAGTTTGGTCAAGTGCTAAGGCAAACCCATTTCTTTCAGGACCACCATAACTTCTCATGTTCCACACAGTGAAAGACGTTGCTGTACTCTGTAAAATGTAGCCTGATCATCTTCTGAAATTCTCCAGTAGTCAATGTATATTTGCAAATGTGATCTGAAGTGCCTCTTCCTTTTTGGAATCCAGCATGAATGTCAGCCATTTCTCATTTCATATGGAGTAATAATCTTTGTTGTAACACTTTGTGCATCACTTTGTTTACATGAGAAATTAGTGCAGTGGCCCTAGAATTGCTGTAGTTTTTGGGATCTTCTTTGTTGAGGCTTTGGAATGTTTTTGGACTGGAATTGAATGTATCCAGTTTGGGGGCCATTGTTTTGTTTTCCATAATTGTTGGCATATTATTAGGCTTTGTATAAATTCATTCTCTGCTGCTTGGAATAGTCCTGTTAGTACCCTGCTTGCTTTGGGTGCTTTGCTTCTTCTAAGTGCTTTCAGAGCAGCTTTCATTTACTTTCTACTACTATAGATTCTTCCTGCAGGATTTGAAGGAGCTTCTCATCTTTTTATTTCTTCTGTACAGTTTTTCCTTATCTTCTTTCCACTTTCCATGTGTTTTCTCCTGGCCAGATAGTATGCTCCCCTGTAGGTTTTTCAGCATTCCTAACCTAGGTTTTAATTTTCCTTACATTTCTCAGAACTGATTGATTGAATCCAGGTTGAGTAGTAAGTCGTAAACATATGCAAGGCCTTTACAGAGAAGGGGCAAGTGGGATCTGATGGCTAGAAGAAATAGGTAGGTGACAGTGGGATGATTTTACCCAAAAGAATGTGTTATTATTTGTACCAATGCACTGAACAAATGATAAGAAATGTTGCATCCACTATCGCAGTAACAGATTGTACAATAAAGAAGGTAAAAGAACAGCCTAAGTTACTTGTTTATGCGTTAGAGGATCCTTCTCCCAGAGGTTTCTTTTTGAAAACCTTGCTTGAATGGGGATAGAAGTAAAGATGAATTGAAGATACAACTGACATGGTGTAGTGGGTAGTTCCTTTGACTGGTTCTTGAAAGATCTGAGTTCTAGTCTTCAGTCAGACATGAAACTTATGGGGTGACTTTAGGCTGGTCACTGATTCTCAGTCAAACCTACGTTGCCTGGTGGTTGTGATGATAAAATGGTGTGGAGGAAAATCATGTAAGCAACCTTGGGTTCCTTGAAGGAAAAAGGTGGGCTATAAACATGGTGGGAGCTGTTACCATTGTTAATAAAAACTGAAGTTGGCAGGATAGCCAACCCCTTCAATGTCACTGTGTGGAATAAATACAGGTGGCTCACATGAGTAAGAAAAGAAATAGTTCATGGAGAAGTGAAATGGTGAAAGACTATGAGAAATGGTAGAATAGACTTCCAAATGTGGTGCAGGCACAGTATGCTGCAGGGCAGAGTTCAGCAAGCAAAATTACTCATTAGGAGAGGAGTGGGACCATTTTTTGGGCTACTTTTGCTTAAAGATTTGGGAACACTTGTCAACAACCCATGGTAAATTTGTTCTCCATGGTTCAGACACTATGACAATCCACCATGGGTATGAGCAACCCTCAAAGAAGCCACAGGTCCTCAGGCTGGCTTAATTTTCAGAAATGCCCTGGTTTTGGTGAATATGGAGAATGCATTGACTTTGCAGAGCACAACAACCCATCACAGCTGGCTGCCCATAGTGGGTTATTGTGCTGTGAAAACCCAGTGAATTGTTTAAATAGTCTGGTTACATTCAGCTGTCTGGCTTGCTTTTCAGGTTTTGTTTGCAGTCCTTTTATGAAGGCGAATGCTGTGGATTCTGTAGCGCTTGAATGCTTCCATTAAAAAAGGACAGAAAATGATATCCTTGGACAATTTTCGGAGAACAGTCAAGAACCCAGTAATTATCCCTTCTTTCCAGTAAATTTTCTTTTTTTCTTAAAGCCTGTGCAGAGGCTTGTGATGTTTTTGAAAAACTAGGCTGGCAATAAAACATATGAAGAAAAAGGATGGTAGAAAAGCAGGCTGAAGAAACTATAAATGTGCTCTTGAACTTGGGCTGAGAAATGGAAGAAATAAAGTAACCTTGGTGGGGAGTGCCTCACACAGTCTGTTTACTCACAAGTAATTCCCATTGTCCCCTCTGGGACTTACTTCCTAGTATTTGGGATTTCAGCTTGAAATAAGTTAGGCAAGTATGGAGCAAGAGTTTCAGTATGTGTCCATCTTTTGGGAGAAGAATACAGGAGTTTGGGTGTAGATCCTTCTGGGATAGATTGGTTGTGCATCCCCAACCTCAAGATGCACATGGATAATGCACCCATCCTAGACTCCTTCCTACATTGGTGACTTAATCCACATATGCACAATTTACACAAGAAATGGCGGTATGCTGTCTTATGTTGATGCTCTTCATGGTGCTCTCCATGATGAGCCATGTGTGATGTCATGTCTGCCTGTTCTTGCCATCTAAGCACCACCCATTAATTTTCACAGTCTGCAGTAATGGGATGTGAAGCGCAACTCTACATCAGCAGTTCCCTGACCTGGTGTCCCCCCGGGAGTTTTGAACTACAACTCCCAGCATTCCTGTCCATTGGTCATCTTGGCAAGGTTCATGGGAGTTGAGGTCCAAAGCATCTTGCTCTTAGAATGTCTGCTGTGTGATTGCTCATTTCTCTGAATTAAGCATGTATAGCCTGATTCGTGGATACTAGCTAAAGAAGGGCAATCACACAGCTACACTGTGACAGTGTTGGGATTCTCTAGTTTATGTGCTTGTGGCAAGGAGAAACCCTTGCTATGAAGTGATTCAAGTTTCAGAGTAGAACTGGGAGAATCTGTGTCCAGATCTGTATTCAGCCTGGAAGCTCACGGTGTGCCTAGGCCTAGCCATTACTCACCTTAAGCGAGTATAAAAGGGGCGAAAGAATACCTGAGCAACTTGGAGGAAGGCTGGACTCCATATTCAAAATCTATTCAAAACCAATACAGTGGGCAGCTGAGTGGGAATGGTATGAAGAAGATTTGCAGTAACGCCAGAGAGAGGTGCTTTTCTGCGACATGTAGCCTTCCTCGTTCTGATACCTTCCAGATGTGGTAGGCTGCAACTCCTGTCATCTCCCAGTTAGCATGCCTTTTGTATTGCAGTGTGAGCTGTTGCTTCAGAGGTCTGTGAAACCTATGAAAGGTTAATACTGCAAGTAAATGATGCATACATCTCATTTGTCTTCAGGAATAAGGGACAGTAACTCCATCTCCCCTCTGCTTTATAGGCTGTTCCATACACCGCAAGTATCATTGGGGGTCTTTTGCCTGGGGAGCTTGTTATAATACGCGGGTCTGTTCCAAAGGATGCAGACAGGTAAGAGATGAAATTAAATGTCTGTGCGGTTGCCAGCAGCTGTGCAAAAGCAGACAAATGGAAGTGCACTGCTTGAAACCGTGACATCCTTCCTTTAAGAATCAGAGCTTTTGAGAAACTTTATATAACTTCCTAGGAGGATTAACCATTGTCCGTTGATTCTGATTGGACCATGGTTTCTCTGATGGAGATATTTGTGTTGTGAAATAATTTACTTTCCCAAACTTAATTTCAAATGCATATGGCTTGGGAGGAAGGAGGGAAGGAACTTTTCATTTTTCAGAGGACCATTTCACTTTAAATTCTGTTTTAAAGTTAGGTGATGGAATGAGTCATTATCTAAGAGGTTGGACTTATACAGTGTTTACTTGATGCACATGTATATATAGTATGGCATATTAGCTAGATCTTTGGAAATGTCTTTCAAAAGTTTCCATAGACAGGAAACATATTCCTTTGAATAATGGAGTTAGTTAGAACTGTGATTTGTTTCCTATACACAGCTGGGCAACCTGTAACCCTCCAGATGCTTTGGCCTACAACTCCCATCAACCCTCTCACTATTGGCCACGCTGCCTAGGGCTGATGAGATTTGTAGGCCAAAACATTTGGAGGGTTGCAAGTTGCCTGCCCATTATATAGGCTGTGAGGATCCTGTTTGTGTTTTATATGGGTAACCGTTAGACATCTTCATTGTCAGAAGTTGGAAGCAGTGGATTTGGGGGTTATGTTCTAACCACATTGAGGTTCCATGATAAAAAAATTAAGTCCTCTGCTAATCTGATTCATTGAGCATGAGCCAGGCTAGGGCATGAGGGTTCTTATTGCAAAGTTCTGGTTTCATATAGTAGGCATAGAATAGAGTTAGCCTTCCCATTCTCATAGTTAGTAAAGATGCGATGTCCTGTCTTTGTGGTGGTTTGACGTTGCTGCATCTCACCAGTGTGTCTCCATTTGCTGGTAGGTTCCAGGTGGACTTCCAGTGTGGCAGTAGCACAAAACCACGTGCTGATGTAGCCTTCCATTTCAACCCCCGTTTCAAAAAATCTGGTTGCATTGTTTGTAATACCCTGCAAAGTGAACGATGGGGCTCAGAGGAGATCGCTTATGAGATGCCTTTTGAAAGAGGAAAGCCATTTGAGATTGTTTTTATGGTTCTGCCTGATAAATTCCAGGTGAGTAGCTGGGAGCCGATTGTTTAGCAATTGTCATGCCAGCAGCTCAGTGGTGCAATTCAGCCACAGTTAAACATGAAGTTGTATTCATTTCAGTAGAATTTGAAATCAATGGGACTGAAAAGTGCTAATTTTGCTTGGATTGTATCCTTTAAATGAGTTTTTCTGGATCAGTAGTATTCTTTATGTCCACTGCTGGTTAATTGGGTTTGAAATGATGCACTGGTGATGCAAATTAAAACATGCAATAGCAGCAGAGTTCTAGGATTGTAAAACCTTACAGAAAAAGATGCGTTTTTCTGTTTCTTGACAGAGTAAGGCAAATGGTTTCTTGCATGGAAGGCATGAATCAGAATGCGTCTAGGCTGGTACTTCATGGTTCCAAAATACATATAGTCATGAGGATGCAGCTTTTCCATCCATTTCCCTTCAGGTTTCTTTCAAGGTTGTGGGTGAATATTGCTAGGGTGGAGGGAAGGTTAAAAGAAAGTGAAAATGGAACAACTTACAAGGGAGGTGGAAGTAAGACATTGGCCAGAAAATGGCAACTGAATACTTTTGTCGACTAAAAGTAGTAGCAAATGTTTTTAATAATATGTGTCCTACCAGGAGCTCAGTCATGGGAAAGCACCACCTTCTACAACATGTTCTCCATGTTTTGAACTTCAACTCCTATTGGCCCCAGCCATTATGGCTAAAGGTCACAAACACTGTGAGTTGTAGTCCAGAATATCTGGAGGACACCAAGTTAGGGAAGCTTGGGATATAATGTTCCAGTTCACACAGCACAGGTAGTTTCTATATTAATTCAAAACTCAAGCAAGTGAGAGGCAGTGCACTCACTCCCATGTGCTCCCAAACAAACCATGCGTTATTTCATTGTGCAAACCAGGTTAGTGTTGATCGTATCACTGTTTCATGTGAGCAGTACATGAAACTGCCCTGGGATGGACACAGCCTTAGAAGTCAGGTGACCCTTATCCTTCAGTCCTACATTGTCCTTCAGGCTTGCTGTTGACTGCCCAGTAGTTTATATGTATGGACCTAGAGCACTAAAACCAGGGATTTTGGAACCATTTAATCAAATAGTGGCATGCTGTTTCTCTAGTGACATTCTTAGTCATTTTCAGCAATGTAAAAATATCAATAAGCTATTTGAAAGCTCTTTTTAAAGGCTATTATGTTCCAAAAACTTAAAATCAGGTGTGCTTTTGATCATGGGCAAGAAATAGGTGGGTAACAGACTTTCACTGCTGCCAAGTAAAATACTTGTTTGTTGCTTCTCTTTTGTAGGTATCTGTAAATGGAAGGTTCCTGTTGCTGTACAAGTATAGAATTCAGCTTGAAAAAATAGATACTCTTGGGATATTTGGAAAAGTGCAAGTTGGTTTGATTGAATTTGTTTCCAATAAGGTTAGTTATTAACCAAGGCAAGAATTATTTTGGGATTGAACTAAAAACATTCAAGGGCATTTCTTCTTAAACTTGTGCTGATTATGGGAGTATTAAGCACCACTTGACTGCTATGAACAGAATGGATCTGGCTTGGTGTCTTCCATTCCAGCCAGTTAAATTGGAGGAGAGTCTGCCTGTCACAGAAAATTGTGGCTTAGGCAGGGCAGACCTAACAGAAACTTTCTGGCAGTGAAGAATATTGTATCCCAGCAGCTCTCCAAGCACATTATTTCAATAAGCATTAAATGTCCTCCAGAAATTACTTTCTGAGCAACAAATCCCAGTTTTCCAAGTAAATCAACAGAACACTAAAATGGCAGATAATTACTCCACTTCACTTGACCTACTGCCTTCCATAAAGACACCTGAAGGATGTCATCTCCATCTTGCTAATGTGTGTGCAGAGGGTTGATCTGCCAACCTTTTTCTTTGCAGCCTTCTCAAAGCTCTCAGCCATCCTTGCTAGAGTCAACTGAGAAAGCCACAGGAAATGTATGTACACCTTTTCTCTGGCTAGGTTTTTGGCTATATTCTGCCTATGTTGTAATTAAATGTTTTTTCCCTTTTCAACAGAATGAACCACCTGATAGTACACAGTTTGTAAGTATCTTTCTGTATGTTGCTATGTATCATTCATAGTTTGTAAGTGTTAAGGAAATGAGCTCTGTGGAGCTTTTCCATGTGGTATCTTAGGGCTTACCATAAAGCCTCTTCCTTCTTATTTGTATATTAATACAGAACAGAAAGTAAAGTCAAGATTAAAGGGAACAGTGAACCTGTGGTATGCCAGCACTGTTCAGAAATTCACTCTGCAAGCAGACAAGATTCCCATTGCTACACCAGGCAGTAGGACAATCCTGGTTTGCACCAACTAGTATAGGGACTACAGGCTTTCCTGCAACAGACAGTTTACAGTTCCATTTTGAAGATTGCTTATTACATTGCAGAAGTTTTTAAGAAGTTTGTAATGAAGCTGCAAGGAAACTATTGAAGCTGTGGGGTTTTGTAATGTCAGGAGGTTGTAGGATGTCAGAAGTTATAAACAGGTACAAGATGTGTTTTTGAAATCCTTGGGATATGAAACATTCATCTGGGTGTTTGGATTTTCTGATATGGCTTACAACTTGCATAGCTTGGTCATTTAAAAACAAAAACCTTTAAACTCATATCTTCAGCTATATTACAGTTTCTGTGCACACATGTAGGGAAATACCAGATGAATCATCTGGCATTCTTCAAAAGGTAAAAGCTTCATAAAGACTACGTCCAGGTTCACACAACTAAGGAGGAAAGCCGTAGAGGTTCTTTTCCCCCCCTATGTTGTGTCAGTCACATGATGCCTTTCTGTAATTTCTGGACACAGTCTGGGGTGATGTCCAGACCATGTAGAATTGTAGAACAAGCCATGGGTTTTGGGCTGCTTTGGAAGCTAATCATTGCTCACCTTACTGAGTTCAGATGACATGGCAACCCACACATGGCAGTGTTAATTATGGAAAGGAGATGATGCAAGACCATTATGTGTTGAAAGCCCCCAATTGGTTGGGCCTCCTTACTAGGTAGTATTTGCATGTTTACTGCAGGAACGCAGCCTGTAGCTGAGGCAAATATAATTGCTGCTAAGCATGAATTATCTCAAGGGGATGTTCCTGTTCAAACACAAACATAAGGGAATGAGAGAGGGAACTTGAAAAGAATTAATCAGAGCCATGCACTGTTGAAATAAAGTTGTCCAAAAACTGGGTTGAACTGCAAGGGAGATCTCAACAAATCAGTGATGTCCCCATTTGCTCAAAACTGCAGCTTGTTAATATCTTGATGCTAATTAACTCTGAGCCATACTTCCTTTTTCAGGTGGTTCCTTACACTGCACGAATTAATTCTTCTCTTGAGCCTGGGAGAACAATTGTTATAAAAGGAGAAGTCAAGGAAAAAGCAAATAGGTTAGTAAATTGGAATAGTGCTCATGACTTTGTTAGAACATTTTAGATGTTGCTGTTTTTTTAATGGAAGTTTGTGTCTCTAGCAGGCTGCCAGCACAATCCTCAGCTTCAGAAGTAAATCCCAGTGCATGCAATGGGATTTACTTCCTGGTAAATGTGTACAGGATTTTTGCCTAAACATCAAGCTGTTCCTGTCATAAGTTTCTGAGCTGCTGTGATGTTATGGAATGTTAATTAACATGCTGTCTGCTGGAGCATAAGATTTCTGTAAACAACTTAGCTTATAGAAATGAACAAATAGGCCTGCTAGGACAATGGGTTTGACTTGGCATCCTGCACCAGCAGGGAGTTGGACCTGATGGCCTTCTTGGCCTGTTCCGAGACTACCATTCTATGAATTTATTTATTTAAAACATTTCTGTCCCATCCTTTGCAAAAAGTGCCTCAGGTTGGCTCTATGAAGCCATCTCTATGAATATTTGGGAGCTAAATAGGTATGTAGCACTATCTTCAGCAACTTGGCGTTTTGAACTCCCTGCATTCCTGACCACTTGCCATGGTGTTTGAGGTTGATTGGAGTCAGAGGGTAAAAGGTTGGGGAAACTAAAGTAAAAGAACAGTAGCCCAGAAGCAAGCTTACTGAAGGAAGGAAACAAAACTGGCAATGAACTAAGACTGTAATAAACGTATATGTGTTAGTAGTCTGTAAAACAAAAGGATATAAGGAAGTGAGAAAGGAATGTCAGTCTAAAGGAAATAATGGGGCAGAAATGTTACATAAAGCTTGGTGATGTTACATAACGCTGGGCTTTCTCCTATGGGCAGGAAAGGATATATGGATTACAGGTCCTTAGTATATTTACCTAGAATCTATGCTGAGGCATGTTAAGTTCTTCCTTCTGAAGGTCTGACACAAATATACTGTCAGTACGCATTAATGTATGGTACATCTATTGACGTGTAAATACATGAAGATTCAGAGACCGCAGTGGTAGCATAGAGAAGTCACAATTCTGAATTGTTTAGTCAATGCTTTCAGCATTGCTTACTTGGTTGTATCATTTGTACATCATGTACATTTGGAGTAGTAGCAAATGTCTAGGACTGGGACACCACTGGAACACTGTGGATGTGTTTATGATACAGTGTTCTGAGCTAAATGGGCCTGGAGATATATCCAACATTTTAAGGATTCTTTCAAATGTTTCTGCTTCAGAGATCCAGAAAGATACAAGCTTCTTTACCTACAGCAAGGAAGGGCAATCTTCAGATTTGTAGGATCCACCTTAATTTTTTACTAGATGCCTGGAATTCACCAAGTGGAGCCTGGTAGAAAAGACATACCAATATTCCTGTTCTCAGCATGTTTTTTGCTTCTGAATATTGGAAGTAAACATCGCTATGTATTTCCTCTGAAAAATTCACATCAGATTACTAAACTTTTCTTTAATTAGGGGCAGTCATTTTGTTGCTGGCTGTTGTTAAACAACTGGAAATGTGATAAATTCAAATCAATCTTCTGTCTACCAGATCTGCAGAAACAATTGCTACTTTTTGTGGAAAATGGAATTTCTAATCCAAACTTCCACTGTCAGTGATCATTTGTAAATCTTAATGATACTGAACTTTCAAAAGGGGCAGCAGGAGGAGATCACTGTACCTGTCAGTTCTTTAGTGTATTATAACTTCTACTCTATGTTCCACAGCAACATAATATTCACCATTTTGTCTGCAGCTTTGCAATTAATCTTAGATCCTGTGACTCAAATGATATTGCTCTGCACCTGAATCCCCGTATAAAAGTTAACAAGTTTGTGAGAAATTCCTACCTGTCTGGTGGTTGGGGAGAAGAAGAAACACACATTTCTCATTTTCCTTTCAAGCCAGGAATGTACTTTGAGGTAACCTACTCAACTAGTTCTCTAGCACATATTTGGGATCAAGTGGGGGAGGGGAAGAGATACCTCCTAGTGAGAAGAAAACTCATGCAAGGCTGCATTTATATCTTGTCTTACAGATCCAGAAGGGGGAGGGGGGCTGTTCTAGACCCAAGTGAGGGAATGGGTTCCTAGTGAAACTGGTGATGTTCCTTTGCCAGAAGCCAAGGCTACTATTCCTGAATCAGTGATAAGATAAAACCTTTTCATAGAAGTCACCTGTGCCGATAGCGTGTAACGCTATGAGCACTGCCTGGAAATGGTTGCAGCAGCCTGCTGTTCTGCATAGTGTTCACTCTAGCAGTAGTTTGTGCCACAGCAGCTAAGGCAGCAGTCCATTCACCGTGGGCGTCTGCCACACATTCCTCATCTTGTTCATGAATGAAACTCTTAAGAACCAAGCTGCTGGTTGCAACAAAAAGGAGGGTTGCATAGCTTTAAGTCAATGACCTGCATTTAAAAATCAGATCTCGTACATTCAAAAACCTAAGAGCTGTGCTGGATCAGAACAAGTGTCCATTTAGTATGCATTATGTTTGCTAAGCATACAACCAGTTGTACAAAAGCCTCCCACACAGGACACAAGTGTGACAGCACCTTCCTGATTAAGTGCTCCAGCATCTGGTGTACAAAGATACACTGTTCCTGATACAGGAAGTAGCATATAACCATCATGAACAGTAGCTATCAATTGCTTCCTCCATTAATTTGTCCAAGCCCATTTTAAAGCTATTCAGACTGCTGGTTATTACTACATCATGTGGAAATGAATTCCATAGATTAACCATGTGCTATGTGAGGTACTTCTGTTCTCTGTCCTGACTCTTCCACAAGTCAGCGTCATGGAATAACCCTGATTTCTAGTGTTATGAGAAAGGGAGAAAAAGGTCTCCCTATCTACTTTCTCCTCATAACTGGAATAAAATAGTAGCTTAAAGAGAAGGGCTAGGAGAACATAGAAACTAGATGGTACTAGAAATGGTTGCTCAAATCTAGGAGACCAACCTTAATCTTTGGGTAGGTTATTTTATTCCCGTTACAGAGGTAATCTTATTTGAAGTAGCCCACAACATGAATGTACCTTTTGTTTGACTAAGGATTTCTTTTCACTTTCAGCTGATAATACTCTGTGAAGCCCATCAGTACAACGTTGCTATCAATGGTGTGCATACCTTGGAGTACAAACACCGGTTTAAACAGCTTGGCAAGATCAACATACTGGAAATCTCAGGGGACATTCAGCTGCTAGATGTGAGGAGCTGGTAGCTATGGAATAGTACCTTTTGCATTACTTGACCATTCCTCAAAAGTAGAGAGAACTGGGCTTCATTCATTTTGATCTACTATCTTCAAAATAAATAGATGTAGATTGCTTGCAGAAACCTCTGAACATGCCCTAGAAATTAATTGAAGTATTCTGGCTAATAACTAACCATAGCTTATTAGTATATGTTTACTATGCAATTCAGAATATCCTAACTGATAAAATACCAGAGGCACTACTGAGATTATGCCTAAATCAGTGTATGTTTTCATGAAGGTAACATTGATGTTAGTATTAAAAATTGACTTCTGTGAAGCTACATAAAAATAAAATAAATCCAATGTTCTATAGTATTGAGCCTTGTGGTAGTGATGTTTTTAAACAAGTTGGACTAGTCTGCTTGAATTGCTTACTCTTTTGGACAAGACGTTGGGAGGAAGTTAACACCAAGGCTTAAATCAAAGAGAAAGGCATAGATTCACCTCTGACTTTACTCTGAAACCTAGCAACCACTAGTCTGGGCTTAAAGAACTAGTCAACTGTGGAAGAGTAGGATTTATTTAGTATAGACCCATGAGTCCATATGCAGGTAGGGTATGAAAGCCTTTGCTTTGTGTGTTACACAAAGCATACATGGAAATACACCTTCAGCAGTAGGTAAGGACAGTGTATGGATTTTTAAACTCAAAGCTCAAGGACTGTTAATACAACTTAAAGTTCTTGCTTAACACTAGAAATATTTATAGTTAAAATAGTTAAGTCTCATTCTTAGTAAAACATAACAAAAAGGGTGTATTTCTGGCTCCGTGTCTGTTTGGTCCCAATGTAGACATGCCATGCATTAAACTTAAGATGATGGGGTTAGAAATAGCTTTGCAGCGATTCTCCAAGAATAACTTCAAGCTGCTGAATTGTCTTCTGGCACTGATGTTCAACTTCTTCACATTCATCTGTCAGGGAAAAAACAGTAATTAAAATGTTTGAGGCGAAAAGCAATTTGGTCTTGTATTACCACCTTCACCCTTTCATTTGTTTTTAATGTTAAGGAAGCCAGTAAATCACTACTATTTTAACTTTTAGTGCTAGTACTAACTGGACACTTCCACAGCAGGTTTCAAATAAGTTATTCAAAAGAATATATTTTTTAAGTAGTACAAAAGGGTTACAGTTTATTATCACGGGGAATACAACCCAGAGTTCAGTTTCCACCAGGCAGTTGGAAGTCAACTTGCTGATAATAGAAGGATGTCTAGACAGGGTGATAGTGCAGTAACCTTTAGCACAAAGCAGCTCTAAAAATGATGCTGCTATTAGGAGCTGATTCAGCTAGTACTGCAGAATAGGAACATACTGCTATAACTTGTAAAAACCATCATGGTCAGACTAAGTGTCATGTAAAGCTATTCCACAGCAAAGAAGCAAACAGGAGAGGAAAACGTGGGAGGGCTTGGACTGGGCACTAATTGTACTGCATCCTAATGGTACTAGCCAGCTCTAGCAGTGCAACTCTGTGTGCTGAATATTGCATCGCAGCCTAGTGTGGCAGGACTGCAACTGGCCAGCTTCTCCAGGTCTGATCAATTTTTGGATGCTGCTCAGCCAAGCCAACAAAAGCATCTCTCTCTCACTGCAGCTAAAGCATCAAGGTAAGATAAAAACAAGAACTTGCCACTCAAAATTTTATTTATTTATTTAGACAGCTTATATGCCGCCCCATCGCATAAGCCTTGGGGCGGCTTACAATTTAGTTAGATTTCTTAATCTTGTAGAGTGCATTTGCCTTCAAACGAAAGACAATTCTTTTATTTTCTAACCCAGGCAGAATTTGAGGGGTCACGAGATTTTTCAGATTCCCACCTCCGAGGCAGCACTCTGACAATGGAGCTGGGAATTGGAGTTTTGCCCTGTCTCAGTAGTGAGGAAAGAACTATCCTGGCTACTTCTGTGACTGTAGGAACACAACCTCAGAAAGGGACATTTTGGTGGGGATGAGAAAAGCTATCCTTACCCCACTCCACACTTTTCCTCCTCATGTAAAAAGTATTACTATACAGGCAAAAAAGTCTTCTAGAGAAAATGTAGGGAAGCAAAGATTGCCTCTGTCACTGCTCTGCCTCTGTATAGGCTAACTGTAAGTGCTGAGTTCAAAGACTTACAAATCATAATAGAATGGCATCCCAAAGCTATTTAAGTATCATGAGTTTGTCAACAGGCTGATATATGCGCTGTTGCAAAGGGCCCATATATAATAGCACTATCCCATTCTGTTCACAAGCACCTTTCAAAGCCATGCAGATTTGCTAGTAAGTTTTAACTTCTAGCATGGAAACTTAATGTTTCTCAGTCTGGGACTGCAGCAATTCAAGAACATGATATTACTTTCCTTAATAGGCTGAAGATGCTCAATAGAAAAAGGGTTCCTTTTTAATTAAAAACAAAATATCCAGGTTTATTCTGAGCTAATTTTACATGCGGTGCGTGGAAATGTTCTTGGAATCAAGCAGGATAGTTTGCTAGCTAGGTGAAAACCAACGTTCCAAGGTTTTCCTTACAGGAGTGGGTTGTTCATGAACTATCATGGAAAGCACGGGAGGGCAACCAGTTATTCTCTGGATATTGTGGACTACATCTGCCATAAGCCCTAGTCAACATGCCCAATGATTAGAATTTCTGAGAACTGCAGTTCAAAACATCTTGAGAGATTCTGGTTACTTACCTTTCCATAAAGAAAGGGTAGACACAAATACAGAAATGCCTTCCTTCAAAGTAAATGGAAAGTGAAAATTCTCACAACAAAAAATGTCATACATTACCTTCCATAAGCTCAGCTAAGAAGGGAATAGACTCTGGTAGTAGCACCATGTAGTTCTCTCTTATTTTTTCTGCAAGTTCTAGCAAAGCTAATAAGGCAGCAAATCGAACCTAAACAAAGCAACAGGTAGGGTCAAAACAGGGCTTATTGAAATCATGCAGGGGTTCAGGGACTCCATTGCTAGACAAGATGCTAAGCATGCTTATGTCTAATACAACCATGATTCTGAAATTGTAAACACTGACCTGCAATATTATTACACAATTCATGTAACACAACACTGTCACTTACTAACACATGTTACAATTCCAGGAAATATTAAGACTGCACGAAAAGCCAAGCTGGATCAGATCAAGTCCAGCATCCATTTCACATAGCAGCCAACCTGCTGTGTATTCTTTCCCAAACAATGAGCACTGTATTAAGTTAAACATCTGGTCAGCTGCCATTTTAGCGCCATCAGGGTGGCTTTCATATGCTATTCTTTCAAGATCCATCCAGTTCAGTTACATACCTTGGGGGATGCATGTCGCATCTTCAGCAAAATCTGATAGTTCAGCGGCTTCCACAGAGAATCATCCGCCATTGCAACTGCAAACTGTGCTATACATGGAATCAAGTGCATTGTCACTCTTTCCTGGAACCTCTCTTCTCCTCCGACAATGTTTTCCAGCTATGTAGAAGGATACAACCACACACAGTGAAGAGAGAGACTATTTTCATTTCAGCCAATTGTAATACTGTGCTACCTAGCCTTCCCAAATTCTTTGCTGGTCACCCAACCGATGTTCAGTTTGGACCTTTTTTTACAACTAGAGCACTTTAAACACACCACCTTGGGGATCCATCTCAACTAATCCACTGGCATTGCTTGTATTTAATTTGGAAGACAGAACTAACCTTCTTTATAAGCAGTGAAGCTAAGTAAAAATGTTAAGATCATGTCCTAGGTCAGGTACCAGTTCTGACAATAATGGAAAATAAGGCAGAAGGGGAAGGAAAGAAGCCCAAATTTATGTTCGTATATCAATTGCTTTAATTCAGGGGTGGGCAATAGTAAGGAGTTGAGAGGTTCCATTGTTCCCTCATGCTGTACTCCCACCCCCTCTTGTGATTTTCAGGAAAGTGACTCTGCTTCCAAGGCAGGCAATCCCTGGCCTCTTGTTTTCAAGCAACATTGGTAGTTTTGTTTTGTTTCATGGCTGCCATTGCATCAGCAGGCAGGGAGTTCTTTGCTGGAAGGGGCTGCACAAAAGGCATGGGGAGATTTATGTGGAGCACATCCTATGGCTTAAACAACCATGATAATTCCTTAAGGAAGACTAGCAAGAATGTGCTATCCAACAGCTAAACCATAACCTGCTTCTCAGTACCTGATTGACCAAAGGCATCATCAATGTTTCTGCCCTCTCTTTGCTCACAAAATGATGGGAATCAAAAAGGAAGATTTTGTGTAAACAATCAAGGATGGACTGTAGCAACAAGCAGCTCTTTTCGGTGTTCTCATAGTCGAAGAAAGCATCATCTGCATTTGCAAACAGACAAAGGAGACAGACAGAGTGAGGCACCTAGTGGATGAGATTGGCAGGAGCAACAAATGAAGAGAATGTCAAAATGTTAAGCTGTGGATCCCTTACAATTAAAGCAGACATTTAAACAAGCTATAGATATGAGCAGCAGTCAGCCTATGATCTGGCTAGTGTTTCTGAAACTACTGTGACTGCTTTCTGGAGGGGGAGGGGTAGCCAGGTTAAAATTTTTGTGGTTCTCGCTGCAACAGTCTTAAAGACTGTATTTGTGCCGAATCAACCATGCAGACTTGAAGTGGACTTTTCTGCCCTCTCCTTTCCACAGCAGCTCCTCCATCTTGCTGAAAATGCTACACAAAAATCAGGAGACCCTGCTGGATGGAGTGAGCCAGAAGGAAAGAAGGACCCCCTCAAAATCAAGTGTCGGGACCTTCTTTAAGTAAAGCCTTCCTTCTTGCAGTAGACAGATCCTGAATCCAATTCTAAAATGATTGTCATGGTATATGCTTGTCCATTTCATCAGATGGTATTTTGAGGTGCCACAAGATTCTTTGTTATGACTGATGAATGTATGTGATGTAGTAGGCTGCAAACTGTGATACCTGGCCTCAGATTCTTGGTAATCCAAACTTTAACAAAAGCACAAATTTCTAGCCTTTACAGTTGTAGGGAGGTTCTCTATATATAATAGTACTGGTCCTTTATTTTAGCAATGTGTAGAGTCCAGTTAGGGGAAGAAATCCGCCAGATTTCTTGAGCTCAGCTCCCCAGACTCTAGCTGGCTTTTTCCTAGGCCTAAGTCATCTTGCACTGAGCTTTTGCATGGGTGTCTGGCTTGAAGTTGCATCCTATTTGGTAATACCTCACAAGTTGCACTCCTTGTCAAAACCATATGCAGAGTAGCCCAAATAATACTGCCTCAGACAAGCTGATCCAATAGTGGTTTGTGTAATTGTTAGGATTTATTACACTTACGATGAACTTGCAGAATCTGATCTTCTGGGTTGAGAAAATTTTGGATTTTGACTTGCTATAAAGTAGTGAACCATTACAACAGAGTCAGGAAAAAGTATTAAAGGCAAATTGATAGGCGCCAGGTAAAGACCTTTTTATTTAAACATCATTTTAATTGTTAAAATATATGATCTGGCCAGGGCAACTTCTTCTTCCTTCTCTTTTCTCCTCCTATATTCTTTATTTACTTATTTTATACTGTTAATTTTAATTTTATATTATTATGTTTGTATCTCAGTGTATTTTTTGTATTTTTGTATTTAGTGGTAATTTATTATGTTCTATTGTATTTCAATGTATTTTATTGTGTTGTAAGCCGCCCCGAGGCTTCGGCAAGGGGCGGCATAGAAATGTTATAATAATAATAATAATTATTATTATAATTATTATTATTTTATTAAATTCACAAAAGCTTCTGGAAACTTACCTGTTTGGGAAGTATTGACCTGATTCAGAGTGTCAGCAAAAGGCTTCACTAAATGACCAGCAAAAAGGGTGAACAGTCCTTTTAGTTGTTCGGCAATGCAATCTGCCAGTCGGCAGAAAGTCAACTGCCTATCCTTTGAGGTGCCCTCAGTCTTGGCCCAATCAAAGAGCTGAAACAGGGAGCAGAAAACTTAGTTTCGGTACAAATCTAAGTTGCTAAAACAAAAGCATGTCAAAACGCCTACCTTGAAGAAGAGGGGTCTGAAAGACATTTCAGAAAGCTTCATAACCATGCTGATTAAGCACATGATAATATGAGTCTCGATTTTCCCAACTTCCTCCAAATCATCCTAGAAACAAACAGCTGGTGTCAAAGGTTTTACAGCAACATTACCACATGTACTTAAGAGTCTGTGTTTTTACAATGCTTAATATTAAGGATGCCCTAGCTTTATATGTACAATAACCTTTCAAGTAATATGCAAGGCACAAAAATGCAGAACTAGTGAGTAGAATCCTGCATATGGTCAGATTGTTTAAATTCTATTTGTCAGTGAGATTTAAGGCAGGCTGTTGCCAGAATTTCCACAAACATTTTGGTGAGATTAATAAACTTCGGCCATGCTGGCTGGAGAAAATGGAATTCAAAGCCCAACTTATCTGGAGGGCAGCAGGTTAAGAAAAGCTGACAAAGCTTATACAGAACAAAAATATATACAAGTATATCAGTCACCATATCTCTGATATGCTACCTGAGAGTGTTCAGCTCTGAAGTCTAGGGCCTTCATGAAAAATGCTGTTAGTTCAGACTGATGGGCAGTGAGTTGGTCTTTTCCAAGAGTTATAATATGTTCTTTTAGAATATCCATAACTGCACCTAAATGGTTCTAGAAATACAAAATCATGTAAAAGAGAAACATTATGTGCAAATTAACACCAATAGAGGCAAACATATTTTCAAGATTGTTGAAACTTTTCCTTTAGTAATCATGATCAGTATTTTCCTGTCAGAAAAAGTTGTGGTCTACACAGGAACAATCAATATTAAATCTGAGAAGCATGGGTTTTCGCCATTATTAGTAATTAAGAAAGCTTCACCCCCTCTTTCACTTTATGGTGGTTCTGCTCCTCTCTCTTTAAAGAGTGAAACTGTTTTCCAAATATGAGATATTACCAGAGTATGTATGTGGGTGAAAGCTGCCCATTAAGCCTAGCATTCCTTTTGTAGAATAAGGACTTTGTGGATAGATTTTTTCCTCCTTGCTGCTTAACTGTTAAACCACTTGGTTTCTGAAGTCCCCTCAATTACCAATTTTTATATAATATAATATACCTATTTAGCACTTTAAGCAAAGAAGCAAAATAAGACTAACCTTAAAAGTTTTTGCAATTTTACGATAACATTTTGCAACTGCTGGCAGAAGAACTCTTGGTGGAAGCTTTGTTGCTAGGGTTGATTTCAGAGATGTCACACGTAGTTTAATGTGAGATGAAGGGCCCATTTCAACTGCAATTCGGTCCAAATGGACCACCTATTAGGTGACAAATGCACAGGTCTGAGTTCACAGAAAAGTCTCACACATTTTGTTGCTAGCAGATTCATAAATTCCTTATAGCTACCTTGAGATGTATCACTCACCTGCAGCAAAATATCCAGCAGATATGGACTGAGAAAGTGTGGCAGCGTTTCTACAATTTTCAGTAGAGAAGTCACTGTGCTAAGCAAGTAAATTTCACTGGCAATTAACTCCTTTTTGTGTTTCAGTATATTTATCAATGCTGGCATAAGTCTAGAAGTAATACATACTGAAGATTAATCCACTCATTTCCAAACAAAACAAAACCCCAAATAAGATTATTTCCTCACCAATTATATTCAAATATATGACACCACAGGGTGTTAATAATACTGCAGACAACTAATTCAAATTAAATATTCTTGAACTTATTGCTTAGAATTATGTCATAGAACTCTAACTTTGCAAGAACTGCTTGGTAGTCCAGAAATATGCAAATGATATAGTCATACAATGGAACATTTACTGCATTTTCATACAAGAAATCCTAATACATTTAGAAAAGGAATTCGAGTTTAAAGCACATGGAATTCAGTGCTTCCTAACCCAGTGTCCTCCTGAATTTTTGGACTTTTTTTCCCATCACCTGCAGTCAACGTAACTAATGGTCAAGAATACTGGGAAGTGTACTCCAAAACATTTGGAAGGCACCTGATTAGGGAAAGCTGCAATAGTAGGTAAATTTGGCCCTCGTTCAAGTCTTGCTTCAGTCATCAGTAGGAGGCAATTGACATGTAACAACAGCCCATGGGTTAAACAAACTATGGGCTGCCAGGGATGAATCAAAGAGAGCAGGTCTGCTATGCAAATGGTCATTTCCATTTTCTGTAAACAACTGCTGATCAGAGGTGGTCAGTGTGATGTACAAAAATGGAGAGCTGAAATGTTCAGAAACTGAACAATCCAGCAGTTAACTCAAGAACAAACGATGGGCTGTTTAGCCTTTTAACAAACCCATCACCCTCTGTTCACAAATTATGCTCACCAGACTGTGAATAAGCTGATCATAGGCTGTTAGTAGGAGTGGGGATGTGGCAGGCAACACTCTCCCTCCCCACCCACTTGTGCATGACAACCTAGGGCTTGTTTAAAACCATGGCTTATTAATGTTTAGCGACCCTATTCTTTCAGCTTTAGCCCAAATATCTGTATTACGAGGATAAAAATGCCTGACCTATTTTGCAGGAGTGCTACAAATGTTACTGAAATATTCCTCAACCTAGAGTCTTCTAGATATTTTGAACTGCAACTCCCATAATTGCTAGCAAGCATGGGAGTGTCACAAACTGACCTTAATTGGCTTATGCTGACATACCAGCTACAAACTTCTCTGGACAGAGATAGCTTTGTTTGCTACAGGCATCTATCCACTGATAAGTCCTACCTGGATTATTGCAGTGCACTGATACATGAGGATTCCAGAGAAAAAAGTCCAAAACCTTCATACAGAATAGAGGAGCAAGGCAGGGACTGGCTGTTTTGCACATATTATTCCAGTGCTGCAGCAACTGCATTGGTTGCCAGTCAGTTTCCAGACCTAGTTCAAAATGATGGTGGTGCCCTTTAAAGCCCTGGCCTTTAAAGGACCAGTCTACCTGAAGGAGTACCTTCTCCCATATCTACCTGAACCACCACTTTCCCTGTCAAATGTTAAGATCTTCTCTGAAGGGTTTTCTCTGATTATTGCTACTTACAATAGCACCCTGGGTGGCTACCAAGAAAGAAGCCTCTGGAATCTTCACTGCATATGTTTAGTCACCAGGTTAAGATCTTCCTCTTTCAGAAAGTTATTAAGCATTAAATGCTCCTAATATTGCTAATATTTTAAAAGTTCTGAATGTTTATTATTTTGATACTTGTATACTTTTTATTTATTTACTTAAGGTTATGTTGTTGCTTGGCTCTACAAGTGCTCCATGTCATGTATAAACAAGGCCAGAGGATGGCACTAGGCACCCAAATTTAATAAATAAGTGGGAATTACAGTCCAACACATCTGGATGGCATCAGATTGGGGAAGGCTGATCTCACGTGCTTACAAAGTTATACCTTGGGAGTTGAGGGATCGCCAGTGCTTTCACCACGCAGGTGACTTCAGCAGCACACAGCAAAGCGCTTCCTGCAACATTTTTTTCTTCCTTCCCTTTCACAGAAATCACGTCGATGGCAGTTTTCAGCACAGTCACAAACAACTCGGGTTTCTCTGTGCCAAAACACTTGCAGAGCAACTTCAGGCTGAACAAAGCTGTCTGCCTGTTGACCGCCTGTTCCTCCTCTGTCGCCCGTATGTTATGCTGCACGACAGCAATGAGATCAGGAACCATTTCTAACAACAACTCCACCTGGAACATAAAACAATACATGCATCAGTGCTCATTCAGACTTCAGTTCCAAGTAGTAACGGGGATCCTGCTGCTCTGATCAGCGCTCAGCAATAATCAAGAACCCTGCCCTGTTTAAAGCTGGGATTGACCACATAAACTCTTTTCACTGTTCTTTCCAAGCCAGAAAGTTGTGCTCTGCCACTTAGGAGCATCTTCCAGTTGATCCCTTAATCCCTTTTATTTATTTGCAGAATATAAACCCATAACTAAAAAAAGATCCCTAAGTGAACAGTAAAGGAATGAAAAATAAAAATACAAAAGAATAAATATATTTAACATAAAATAACACCGCTGCATCCAGGACTAGGGATGTGTGAGGAATCCACTTACAGGTGGAAATCCATCAGATTCCCCGAGCTTGGCTCCCCAGACTGCAGCCTGCTTTGTGGCAGCCCAGAACCTGATTTCCTGGTAAGCAGTCAAAGAATCCATGTGGCACACACCAGGAATCAAGTCCTATGCTGCAGCAGCAGACAGAGAAGGAGTCTGTTGCTATTAATGGTGCCTGGCACACACGCTCACAGTGCCACTGGTCTGGAAGTGTGGCGCTTTAAACACATGCGCCAGGCACCATCCCCAGTGCCTGCTCTTCCCTGCCTGGTGATGCCGGCAGCAGTGGCTGCAATGTGAAAGAGCAGTGCTGTGAGCATGTGTGCCAGGTCCCAGTTAACAGCAACTGACCTTCTTCTTGCCCAGTACAGGTGGCAGCAGTGGACGGGGAAGGTTGCAGTTGTGCAACCAGCAGTTTGAGAGTGTTCATGGACTTCGCTTTGCACGGTGAGCACAAGAGGAAGTCCAAATATCCTGGAAGGATGGATGTTGAAAGGGTTCATCCCAGCCCTATCCAGGACCTGCATTATGAGACAACACATTCCTACGATCATAGAAAGAGAGATAAATGAAGGCACAGGGAACCTGGGTTTGCTGCCACTGTGTGCGTTGCTGCAACTTGTTGTTCAAGAGATCCATTGCTTTGCGTCTCACAGAAGGGAGCTGGTTGGCCATCAGACCCCGGATGACAGGAATAAATGTTTCCGTTGGCATTAAGGCATTGACCTAGGAAAAAAGGAAATTTCAGAAAAGCACGTCACATTTAAAAGAGTGGGTTCCCATCACAGTTTGGACAGCTTTCCAGACCTCTGCTGCCTGACCAGGCTGCTCGTCAGGTTTCCTAGCAGGGCAGAGGACTCAGAAAATTTCCCTCTCATGAACAACCAACCAGTTGATACTGGTTGCTTCTAAAAACAATGAGGAAAGCAAAATTGCCCAATTAAGTAAAGCCTATCCACCCACTCAAGTCATTTTAAACGGGAGTTTTATGCTGGTTTTCTACTATTATTATTTTTGTAAATTGTAAATTGTTTTTACAAAACAATTAATTACTGCTTTTAGTACAACACAAAAGCCAACTAGGTTTTTGAAGGGTGGGATATAAACCCTTAAAATAAATTGTTCTCACACTGAAATAAGACTGGACAGGCCAATTGTTCTTTCTTCTGCAACTCACATTTTGCTTGGTTTTCATTACTGCTTAACATTAATTGATACATGAATACACACGCACAGAAATGTTACTATTCTTTTTCTTTGGACATAACTGCCCACTTGTTTTGCCTCAGATGCTTTAGGAAAGCATAAAGCTGAACAGTTTTCTAAATTGATTAACATAATGCATAATATTAAGTCCATCATAATGAAGCTTCAGCATCAGAAACAGAGGCCATAAGGCACATTACAAACCAGCAATAAGAGAAACTTACCTTGTCCAGCATGTCGTAGGACTTATTGAGCAGTGCCCTCCAGAACTTCGCTGTCGGTGTATCTGTATGTTTTTCCACTGAGATTGCCACAACGTTAATGAAGCAAAGAACATCTTCCAACAGTCTGAATAAACAACAGAGAGTTACTGACCACAACAAAGACATACAATATTTTCAGTAATAGGAAGTCCAAAAATGAACCATTTATACATGAGAATCACTCCAGAAGCAACGGAGCCCAAGCACAAGCAGAGTTCTTGCAGCTGCAAGTTCTCAAAGGGAGAAAGAGACAGTTGTGTTTCCTGTGGACTGTATCCAATGTCAATTCAACTTAAGTCCCAATTATTTTAACAGGCCTACTCTAGGTAGACTAGCATTGGATACAACCCTAAATGGAGCCACCTGGGTGACTTAGGGCCAGTCACAGACTCTCAGCCCAACCTACTCACAGGGTTATTGCTGCTAGGAGGAGGAGATTGAAGTAAGCTGCTTTCTTTGCAAGAAAAAAGGCAGGATATAAATCTAATAAATATACCATGGGTTGGATCAAGATTCATTCATGTAACTGCTTTCCTCTAAGTATGACTAAGTGCACAATCCTATGCACACTTAGACAGAAAGAAGGCCTGCAATTTCCAGGCATGCTGCATGGGGCATGTTGGGAATTGTAGCCTTTTTCTCTATCTAACTATACATAGGATTGTGCTTTCATGCTGGATCCAATGCTTTAAAAGGTAAACTAAAGGAAAAACGCACTATGTATTTTATAAAACTGACAGAGTCAAGATAAAATCACAGATATCTTGGTCAAGTAGCCAATTATTCTTTTTTAACATACCCCCTACCCAAGTTATAAAGATAATGTTTATCTTTCCTTTTCCTGTCTTCCTTGCATCTTGAGCATAGATTTGTTCCATGAGCCTTTACGTAGCAGGCCATAGATTTGAGTCATCAAATATATATGCAGTAGATATATTTAGATGCCTTGGAGTGAATATTATTTCCTTTAACATAACCAAAGTCCTACTTTTAGTTGTCTATTACCTCTGTTCAGACTCCTTTAACTCCTCAGCATCTTCACATTCAACTACCTGTTAGGAAAGAAAAGAAGGGGAATCTCAGTTACAAGGACTTCATCTTTATTTGCTTTTGTTTTTAATTTTTTAAAGAGCCCAATTTAGATTTTGAAAAAGAGGCACCCTTGATATAAGAAGGTCTCTGGTTCAATTTCTGGTCGCCAGAAGTATGCCTGCCTGACATCCTGGTGAGCTGCTGTCAGGCACTGGAGAGAATATGCAGCTGGAGGGACCAACAGTATGGCTTGCTGTAAGGCAGCCTCCTATATTCCTACTGCTTGAAGACACAGCAGTGAAGTTCCACTCACAGAGTCCCCACCACACAAGAGGATACAGTTTTCCCAGTGGTACAGCCTCAAGCTGCTTACTGTTTGTCCTCTTCTCATCATTGCCTTGCTTATTTATTTATTTGTTGCTTTTATTGCTTGTTCAACAGTGATACATGGCTCCCATGTAATGGTGAACCTTCCTTAGACTTTCACACCCAGGATGCAGGGATGAGGATGGCTGTTTTTCAACCTCTTCTCATGCAGATGCCTCTTCCACTCAACTTTTCATGTTAGAGGCAAATACAGGATTAGGACTTTGGAATGCCTAGTTCCATCCTCTGGCCTTGTTTATACATGACATGGACAATGGGTAAAGTGCTAACCTAGGTACAGCCACTTAAATACATTTACCACGATGATTATCGGTCACACATGTGACAAGCACATTTCAATGTGATAGTATGTGTAAACACTCAGTGCTTCCATTGTTAGTCATGCCCCCTATAAATCCTGGCCCGGATTTATTCTAAAGTAGGCAATCGGAAAAGTTCCCCTGTACAGGCCAAATTCATTGACACTACTTCCTAAAAGATGCTCAGAGATGCTCCTGCTGGTATAATGGTTTCTTCATGGGCTGGTTTTGTTTATATCAAAAACATAAGTATTAATTTATTTTACACATATTGTCCAGTACCCTTCATGTGAAACAACAGGCAACAGGAAATACTTTTTTAAGAATCCCCCAGAAAGTGGGAAACCTCATTAAACCATTAGAAAGATGAAGTTGCCTTACTTTTTTCACAAAACTGTGCGAAGCCAGAAGCTGTGACATGAAAGAGACTGACAAGAACTTGAAATGCCTCAGCTGTTTGCCAGAGTGAGAGTCAACATTAAAGAGCTCTGTTTCTTCACTCTGGGATTTTATCTTGCGCACTCTTGATTTCTTTTTTCCAGGATCATCTGCAAAAAATAGACCCAGACAAGAATGTTTTGCTAGCCCTATTGTCTGCAACCATAAATGCTAGATTAAAGATGCTTACTACCAAAGGCAACATAGGACAAGCTTTCCAAGTGATGCATAGCTTAGAAGAGTCACTGAAACTAAAGGAAAATCTTTTGAAACTGTTTTGCAAACTTTAAAAACCAATGATTTTGATAGAAATAAATGCTGATAATTATGATCCACTTATTTATTCTGCATAACTATAGTCTGGACAGGAGGGTTTTGTACAGAAATTTTGGTCAGGTACTGGGAAGGAGTGTAAACATTGGGATAGATTGGTGGCAACTGATGTGTCACTAAGAAAGTAAGAGATGTGTAAAATAAAGGAGCTCCCCTTTGCAATAACAGATAATTGTGATCCTTTTACGTTGTACCTGTAATAAGGCCAGGCATTTGTTTCTTTGAGAAGGAAAAGGAAAAAATGGGCTCGATGCAGCAAAAGCCCCCCAGGAAAGGAAAAGTTCCTTCTGTTACCAGGAGGGTTTTGTTCCAGTAGAAATTTTCCACGGACTCAACAGAGAGGGAATTCTTCTTTCCTGATTCTGCCTGCCTCTGCTATTCCTTGAAACCTGCTCTGGAAAGCTGGGGGTTGTCTGGAAATTTTCTGCCAGTCTGCAAAAAAGCCCTGATGGAGACCTTTGGGGGTGGGGGCGCAGCCCCCTGTGGAGCCAAGCATCACAAAGGAGGGGCAGCATATAAGTGTAGCAACTCAGGCTCTTCCCACTTGCTCAGTGCTGCTGCAATCCCCAGGGGAACCAAACGGATCATAGCAGGAGGTGAGAAAGAGCTCACACATCTCCAGACAAGGGGCAGGGCCATTCAGAGAGCCACCAGGCTGGAATGTGGGCTGGAGATGCTCCATGGGAGCCAAGCTGCACTGGTCCACACTTTGGGCAGGGCCCTGAAGAGTGGGCCTTTTCTGCTGCATTTTCTCCTGGTAAGGAAATGTTGAGGCAGGGTTCTTTCGACCGTGTTTTCCTAGCCAATCTGTGCTGGTGTGTATGGAGGTTGCACTGGGTGAGGTTTATTGTATTTCATTATTTAACATTATGAACATTATTGTACAAAGTAACATTGTTTGATTTTGTATTGCTCTGCCGTTATTGTATTTGAATTTGAATTTGCTATGAGTATAGTACTGCATTTATATCAATTTTGTATTTTGCTATTGTAATTTTTTGATCAAGTATTATTGAGAAGAAGCAACATCAGATTTTGCACTAGCCTTCTTTGAGATAAATATGGCTCTTTAAAATTTCAGTTGTATTTGACTACATTTAATTTCAATATTTTATTCTTTTATTAGCATTTTTACTGCTCAGATTCTGGTTATTTTAGAGAATTATGTTTTGGTATTATATTTAAAAACTAATGCACAAAACACTATATTATGTATATAATGCTTTTTATTTCTGCCACAGCAGTCCCCGAAATAATTTTCCTATTTTCTCCATTCCTCAGCTGTAAAAAGATTGAAAATTACTGGTTTAGACCAACAGGAGAGATGATACTGGAGGGCTGCAGGAGGAGGAGGAGGAGAATCATCAAATATCATACTCTTGCTTTCCACCAGCAGGCGTGTTCTGAGCTGAATTTCACTTAAGGACACTCCTGCTAGTGCAATAAAACTCTATATCTAACCCATGTAAGTACAATGCATTGCAGTCACTCTATTTCAGCTTCTTTCAGGAATATTTAAATATGTTATATAAAATAGTATGGATACCCTTAATAAATTCTATGAATGTTCTACAAGGAAGTTTAGATATTTACTTAGGAATACATTCACATACACCTACAGCCACATGGAAACCCTTTAAAAGGCTCCCTGCAGGGATCTATCATACATATCATGTGATTTTCTCCACTCACTGTCCTGATAGCCACAAAGAGGTCTAATAGCATGATGGGGAAAGATAAATGAGCAGGTTCATGGCATGACAAGTCACAGTGGTTTCTTGTGCAGGATGGTCTCTGTCATGTTATCCAAACCCTGTCTTAGTATTTCATCATAGTGCATGTGGTTTTTAGAAACCACAGTAAGAAATAGCGCTCTGTTCTATGGTTTCAGCACTTCATCATGGTTTCTCAACTGGACCAGGCCTCCTGATTTCTACAGTGCTACACAGAGTCCCAAGGAAAGTGTGGCAGCTCTTGCAGGAACTGCTCCATCTGCTCCAACACAGAATTGAATTTCAGGCTTACGGTTGATGAGATATGTGCCAGTAGTGGGGGGACTGAACAAGGAGGACAGAAACCACATTAGCATAGACACCACTTAAATATTGGTCAGGTAAATCCAGACCAAAAAAAACAAAACCAAAACCACACACACACACACACACACACACACACAATGGAAACCACGCAGGGTTGCTTGTTATGATGTGTGGGCTGCTATGGCATATAAGTTAATAAAGCAAAGCCCATAACAGAAGGAATAATTTAAACCACTTGAGTACTCATTTCCTAAATAAGGCAGAGAGGAAACAATGTTAAACCTGTGATTATGAACCCTTTTTGGAGGAACACTTGAGCTGGTTTGTATCCAAAAGTTTTTGTCTAAATGGTTGTACTCGGGCAGAAGCATGCAAGTGATTTCCCTAGCAATTAATTACCTTCTTTGTTCTCTGGCAGTTTGGTTAAATAGTCCAACACTTTCCTCAGACTCTGCAGCTGTTGAATTGCACTAAATTCACAGCATACCGAGATCCAGAACTCTGTGTCACTCTCCAAAATAGTATCCTGTATTAAAAAGACAGACAAAAGGAAAAGAAAATATAGCATTTCAAGAAGAAAAATTAACCAGTCATGGCCTATTCTTAATAGGAGAAGCATCACAGAAGAGTATCCTTACCTTCTCCCCATTGGCTACTGCAGTCACTGATTTTGTCACATGCTGTTCAAACAACAGCACAAGGAGAATCCAGAGGAAGCGCTCTCCTCCCAAAGTGCTTATCAGCTGTTCTAGGATGGGGAGGCAGCGATGCTCGGGCACATGAGGCAAAGCATCCACAAACACACGGATTATTTTTATCACCACCTCTTCCAAGTTTCCCGAGGTTTCTGAAGAACCATTGTCCTCAGCCTATAAAGCAGACATTCAGGAATTAGTGTGGAGTACACAGATTGAAATCTGTTCAGGATCTGCATAATGCTAAACAGTTCTTAATAATTGAGGCATTGGCTTTTTTCCAGCAGAGTGGAAAAAGTTAAAATTAAAGTATGAATGCTGAAGAAATGATCATGTCAAAAGGCTGTGGGATTGTGCATATATACTGACGGTCAGGTACTAGTGGCCATCATTGATTGGAAGTCACTCATGACTGAATACATAATGAATGGCACAACTTGTTCTCAGAAGGCAATGCAGAACTTACAAAGGAATAATTCTAAACCTTTGGAGGGGACTTGCATGGAATAAGGATTGGTATAATTTCCACCTACGAGGCCACTTTCCAACCAGAGATATTTTCTAAGCTCTCCTTGCACAATTTACAGGATACTAAGGTTAGGTTACACTAGTCAGCCAGTTCTGCTGGTATAGTGAAATGTTAATTAGCAGCCCGCCTGGTCAATAAGGTCCTGGATGAAGCACTCCTATTGGCTCTGCATGGACCCAAGATCCATCCAGAAAAGAGCTTTTAGTGTACTGGCTCAGTGTACTGGCTCCCTCTCTGTAGAATCCCTGCCAGCCAATGTCAGGTGGGTACCAATGTTGTTTTTGGTACCTGCCAAAGCCAGTGTTAGTCAAAAGAGCTTACTCTGAATGACCAGCCATGGTTTTAAAAGTACAACATGATTTTAAATAAGTTTATACATAGCAAATTATCTATATATTTTGCAAATAAATAAATGGTAAGTAGTTCTAATACAGACACTATCACTTACTACTTACTCCAAGCAATTGCCCCATACCATCTCTCAAATTTCATTTTATCAATCCACTAGCTGCAAACAGTCTCCTAGCTTCCTTACCACCAACTCTGTTCCAGATTAGAATCTTCTTTTAATTGATACTGTAAATTTGGGAACAGATATTTCATACACACTATGGAAGAAGATAAAAGTCCACCATTTGATGAAACAATCACCAGGTTAACCCAAGAAATACAAACAATTCTGTTTTGGAAGTAAGCCAAACTTGTTCTGTCCTATTCTAGTGACATAATTTCCCATTTAAAACATCTTACCTGTATAAGAGCAGGAATGACCATCTTCACTGTCTTATTAATCACTTGGAAACTGTAAGCATTGTCCAGACGCATGACGTTCGCCCCCATGAATGTAAAAATAGGCATGATATTGTGCAGCACTTTACCCTATTCAAGATAAATCAGTTGACCCCATATTAGATTTGTGTTTGCTTTCGAATGTCCATTTTTACTGTGCAGTTAATTTTTCCAGTGAAATAGTTCTTTATCTACTACTGAAAATCCTACTGCCTTTTTATTTGAATTGTAGGACATTCTTTACATACAAGTCACTAGTTGTACAGCTTCCTTCAGCCCACAGGCCAAATGGCAGGCAGAGCTGTAGGAAATGCAATGGAAAAAATTACCAAAATATTGTTGGTTTGCTGATTAAAACTCTTACTGGCAGTAACTTAGGAGAGGCATGACAACCTTTCAGAATGGGAAAAAACTCTCCAAACACCAGAAAATCACCAAACTGAAATGAAGTGGTTTGGCTTGCAGCCCCAGGACTCAGGTTCTGCAGCCTGACAGAGGCAAAGCCAATCACAGCACAATGCATCATCAGGACAAGGACCCTATCTAGACAAGGCAAAGCTTGTATTTCTGGTTTTACAGCCTGAGATACTGCTGTGAACACGGATCTGTGGCAATGCAGGCACTCCCTCCCATCTGCCAATAAAAAGGGTCGGTGCTGCCAAGGGCAAACGGTACTTGCTTTCCGACATTTAATCACTGCATGCTAATCAGAAGGTAAGATGCAAGACCACTGCCCAGAAGCAAGGGTCATGCTTGTGGAACAATGAGGAATTGAGAAACGAGAGAATTTTAGAGATGGGGATAGGAAGGAGCAAGGCAAGTTCAGGCCGAGGTAGTTCCAAGAATAGCTGTGATGGGGAAGTGGTTTTCAAGCAGGGATTGAGAGGAAGGAGGGAAGCAGCTTTAGCAGCAAAGGGAAAGCTGGTGAAAGCACAGGAACAACAACATAGGGCTGGGCGAGAGGACACGGTGAGTCACCCAGTAGCGCCCAATGCTTGATCATGAATGCTGAACTGCTGTTCAGTCAAAAGAACTAGAAAAGCATTCTGCGTCTTAGAAAGCCACCATCTGTTTCAATGTTCACTTTCCCTTCTGGGTGATGTGCATGGAAAAGGAGGCATACTCACAGGGAACATTCCAGCAGCAGCTCCCAGCAGAAGCAGAGCGTGGTGATGGGTCTGAGGCATTTCAGAAACCCGGATGCACTGAACTATCAGCTCCACATTGAACTTCTCTTCATCGAGAACACCTGAAAAAGCAAAGGAAGGACCCCTGGATTAGCAAGATTTAGGTTTTCATTAAGACTAAGCCTGGTTACAACTGCAGTCACATATGGATACATGCTATTTTTACAGTAATTACCTCATTTTGTAACACACACATCAAAAAGGCAATAAAGTCCATAAAGCCCAGAATAAGTTTTCATACCCCAGGTCAAAAACTAGGGAGTTGCCCACTTAACTTGTTCATCTGCTTTACCTGATTTCATCCTGCTACCATCTGGAGACAGTTTCTGACAGATGTTTAACAGGCAACCAAGTATGAGCTGTTTTATGTATTCCAGGTTTTCCTTTTCTGCAGAAGGTTCAAGACATCTGGAAATTTGGAAAACAGTCAAATAATAATTCTGGTGAATACTGTGCATCATATTATATCATGCTGCTTAATAAAAAAGCAAACTTTTAGCTGTTTAAACTGTTTTAAATTTTATATACTAGATTTTTGTGGTGTTTTAGTATCTGTATTTGTAATGTTTGTGAATTGTTGTAATTTGTGATTTTGTCATTTGTAATTTGTATTTACTGAATACTACTCAGACTGTTTCAGCTGTTGTGCAGCATAGAAATGAAATAAATACATACAAAAATTAGTAGCCCAGTTAGATATTAAAAATTAGGAAAAAAGAAATAAGAAATGAACATTTCCTGAAATCAAACCAAGCTTAGATGGCATTCTGATGTCCTCATCTCCCCAGCCCAGTGTTCTTTTCTGAATGGCCAACACAATTCTAAAAATACAGAAGGGTACTTCTCCCTCAATCAGAATTCAGTATAAGTTGTATGTTTATCGGGATGTAATAGCTGTGAGACGAGTATGCATTGTGTTTTCCAGGTAAGTATGCTATCAGCAGGGCTGGCTGTGTCCTTTATGGAAGCATTCACTGAACAACTAAAGATTGGGCCACAAGCCAGGAACACAGAGCAGGAAGTGATAAAAAACACAGCGCAGTGCTCACTTCCTAGTCCTCAGCTGTTCCCTACAGCCACATACACTACCACCACCACCACCACCACCACCACCACGTCTCCCCCTTCCAGGTTCAAGGATACACACTGTGATACTTCTAGGATAAAGCAATGAAGGACCATTCTACTTTATATTCCACCCAACAGAAGAAAATAGGAAAAGTGGGAAAAAATGTAATTGAAAAATATGCTTGTTGTGTCCCACTATGTATAAGGAGACCACATTGTAAAACCCAGTAGGTTTACAATGAAGATGAAATAGATTATTTGGCGAAATCTCTATGGGAACAATGCAGCCTATTTTGTGCATGAACAAAAAGCAAGCACAAAGACCTGTTCATGCCCAACCAGTCCTGGAGGAAAAATCATGCAATGGAATTGCTACTCAACTATGTGCCTGATGATGAGGCAATAATTGGTACCATGCTTGAAACCAAGTAGTGACAATGGCTCTAGGAGGCCAGGCACATCCTTAAGTCCCAACCAGCAGATGTAGTTTGCTTTGCTCTGACCTCTGGCTAAGCTTTCCAGAAGGCCACACCCACCGGTCTCCCCTGACCACCCATCCCCATCCCCATCGAGTCTGGGTTGAAATTCAGCTGGGGAAGGGGCAGAGAACATCCAACAGAGCCTTACTGTGTTCCCCAGTAAAGACATCTGGCATTGCTCTCTAAAACCAACGCAGTCATTACCTGGCCAGCAAGCTGAAAAGGGTAGGTATCAGTGCCTGCGGCTGCTTGAGCTTCTTCTTGTGCTGCAGCAATTCCAGAATAAGTGTGACTCTTTGCCAGTTCACACTGCTTTCTTCTGGTGTACACTCTTGGTTCTGAGCTTTTCTGAAGGATGAAAACAGAGTAAGAAAAAAAATACCTCTCATTACAAAGGTCTATTCCAACCTTTTTCAAAGGAAGCCTTCAAAGCATGAAGTAATTATCAACAAAGCACCACTAATGCAAATAAACAGAACATCTATATCATCAAACCCCAAATAAATGCTTGCATAAATCAAGCCAGAGACCAAATTTGCAAACTTGGTCAAGACAGGTTTCAAGACACTTTTTTTTATTTGCCATTTAATAAAATCAGTGATGTTTTTCAACAGGATATTTGCTCTGTTTCACAGTATCGCCAGACGCCTTGCATTTGCTTTTCAAAAGAGAGTAGACCCGGAGTCCGACAGGGGCAGGATGACATCTGGCCCTTAGGAAGGAGCAAAAGGTGCTTCTATGCAGTCCAGCCAAGTCTCTCTTCCAGAAAAGATAATGCCTCCAAAGGGAAGCAGAGAAAAGCATACCAGGGTCTGGACCATTACATGGCACCAAGTAGTAAGAAAGTCTTCCACACTTACATCCTTTCCAACAAGCCCCACCATCTTTTTGCAAAGATACTGTTTGTTGGATATATTATTGTATTTTTATGTGGTTATGGCAGCTGCTCTGATTCAGCCAAAAGAGACAGGATACAGATACGAATATGAATTCGTATTCAGGATACGAATCAGCCAAAAAAGACAGGATACGGATTAGGTAAACAAACAGCCCAAGAATCAATGCAAGTGCAGTTTCAGAGGGGCAGCATCTCCTGCAGCCTTGGCCCAATGTCCTTTATGCACTTCTATACACAGTGCCTGTGACATTTACTTCTTCGGTCCGTTTTACCTCTGCTGCTGCATCTTCTGCCTTCTTGTCTGGTGAACAGTAGCCAGGTTCTTGGCCTTGGGTAGAGGTTCCAGTTCCATCCTAACCTGCTCAGCATCAACTGAAATCTAAACAAGATACAAGGAGGTAATATTTGGTTTAAAGAAACACAGCACATCAGTCACCCACCACATGTCACAAGACACACAGTATGCCTGGGCCAATGGCACACTGGGCAAGGATGGACTACCAGTAGAGCGTGACCTGACCAAGTATTCATTGGGTGTTATGGCAAGGTCATTTCTGCATGCATATGGAGGACAGAGAAAGTTTAATTGGCTGGGAAGTGCCATGACTAAACTGAGCACAGGAAGAAGTAGCAAGAGTAAACAGGCTCTCTCCATCAGACCTATATACACTTGCAGCTAAGAGGCCCTATCTTAACAGCAGAAACTTTGGGCATCATCATCCAATTTTAGAAACCGATGGGAAAAATTAAACTTCATGCATTTTCAGGATTGGGCTAAAATCCGGGTAAAGGTTTGGATTAGTGAAACACGTTCCTGATGAAGATTTCAAGATGTCAAACGTGTTTAGAAAGAGAAGAAAGGAAGAGCTGTGCTGAAAATCATCTGGAAAGCTGGCAGTTTAAAAATTTGTGTGAGGAATGGATACTACCCAGCCTAGTCAGATTAGAATAGGATTAGTGAAAGCAAAGTTCCTTTGAAGATTTCAAGGCCTGGAAAGTTTTTAGAATGGGCAAAAAAAGAAAAGCTGTGCAGGAAAGCAACTAGGAAAGTTGCCATTTTTGAAATCCTGGTGAGGCATAGGTCCAGCACTGCCATTTAAGCATTAGGGTTAATGTCCAGGTTAGGGTTAGGGTTAGTGGAAGCAAGGTCCCTGGGAAGATTTTGAGGCATGGAGCATGTTTAGAAAGCACAAAAAAGTTGTAGAGAAAAACATCTGGAAAGCTGGTATTTCCCTAATCCCAAAGAGGCATGGGTCCTGCACCCCCTTTTAGGGTTACAGTTAAGGTCCACCTTAGGGTTAGGGTAAGTAAAAGCAAGACCCATGTGGGCTTTGGAACATGTTCAGAATGGGCAACAAAAAACAAAAGGAAAAACATCAGGAAAGCTGGCATTTTCGAAATCCTGGTGAGCCATGGGTCCTACACCCCTATTTTAGGGTTAGGGTTAAGGTCCAGGAGGGTTAGGGTTAGAAAAAGCAAGTTCTTTGTGAAACTTTCAAAGCTTGGACCATGTTTGTATCCCACTTTATTTGTGAAGCACCCTTCACCTTGGAGAAGTGGAGTGGAGTGGACTATGACAACTGGTGTGGTGACCTGAAGAGAAGTACCTCCTGCGAGAGAAACAGAGGGGGACTTTGCCTGTTTTTCTAGAAACTGCCTCTTCCTCCTCAGCATAAGCTTGCAAAGCTCAGAGGAGTACTTTGAGATGGTTCTGGGGAATGGCAGAGGTTGAGAAATTCAGGTTCCATCTATCCCTTTCCATAAGTGTATATCCATATCCAACACCCTGTTTTTAATATTTTAATATACTTACATGTGCATGCATTAATGCACGCACACACACACACAATTTCCAGAAAATTGCTGTAATGGCTGTTTTGCACTTTTCTTCTCCCTTACTTAGCATTTGTGCTTTAAGGAACAATCTTATGCATGTTTACATAGAAACTTTTCTTTTTTTACAAAAATTAGCGCACTGGATCTTGACATCCCCAGCATTCCCCAACCAGTATGGAGTTGTGCCTTACACTGAGAGCAGTGCAATCTGTAAATATAATCACCCTGCCATGATTGGAGAATCCAATTCCACTAAGTCAAAGGACTGAAATTCTCATTATTTGGAAAGATAAAGGTCACCTTACCCCTTTAAACACATTGTTGATTGCCTGTGCACAATTTGGATTTTTGCAATTTAGCAGCAAATCAAATAGAACTCCCAAAATTTTTTGCTGAACCTTCCCATCTGCCACAGCAGCAAAGAATGGTTTTGTAATCTAGAAATGAGAAACAGGAAAGTGTATCATTTATATAAACAATTTTGTATGCATTATCCTCACTTTCTGAAAGAAAGAGACAGTATTATTTCCATTTTACAATGAGATCTTGTCTAGGTTTCTCAGGTCCAGGTTTCTCAGGTCCAGGTTTCTCAGGTCCAGGTTCAACATGCTCTTCACTAACCTACATTTTAAAAAAATACCTTATGTTCCTTGGTCTTCAGGATGTGTGTGGCAGAACATTAATATAAATCCATACATTAAATCAAATGTTGCATTATGTGCGTATAACAGACCCACAGGAACTACACTTGAGCACGGAAGAAACAGCTTTAAGATGTTACTTATGTGGAAATTCCATGAGACTACCACACTCTATAGTCAGAAGCCTCTGAGATTGGAAGCTTCTGAAAATCTTATGCTGCTGTCAGGGCAGGAAGGGGATGGAAGTGATTTCTCTCCCCGTTTTTCTTCAAAAATTGTCCAGTTGACCTTCCTCCCTTGTGGACATGGATGCAAGCAGACAATGGAAAGATCCTAAGATTCTGCAGAACTTGGTCTCTCGTCCCTCCACCCAATGTAATGCCTGCCTCTCAATCTCTACTCTAATACCTGATTCAGTATTGAATTCCACCTCCTGAGGGAATAGACATGTCTGGGATGGAGAATCCAAAATATCTAATGGTCTTTGGGACAGGATTACTCTAATTAATAAAAAAATAATGTTAACCTCCTTTAAGTATGGATGCTCTCAGGGCTGTATAAAGAATAAAGTTAATGAAACCAATATAATAATTATCATTCAATCCGTATTCAATAAAAGCAGAAATTAAAACCCAAAAAACCCAGAACAAAATCCATTGTGAAAATTATTCATAGTGAAACCGTCATCATATATACATGTCCCCAGCAGAACTTCCACTGAGTTCAGTAGAAATTAGCTAAGTAGACATTTATAAGATTGCATTTTGACTTGAATTAGAACCAACAAAGTCTTTTTTATAGGCTAATAGCAAAGTTAATCTCAAACATAAAACTTATTATGCATTGTGTATACCATAAGAATATAAAAGGGGCAATTCTGGAAAAGATAAAAGGTCTAGTCAAGGACCCCATTTTCAGCAGTGGCCAGTCAGGTGTTTTTGGGAAGTCCAGAAGTAGAGTGAAACAAAAATGGCATTCCGGTTAGGATTTCACTGTATACACAACTGTTTAGCCAAATGGGTTTGGCCAATTGTTTACTGTAGGGGCATTATTACTGTGTTGAAGCACTTGTTTATTGTAATTCATAATAAAAATAAAAGGAAATGAAAGGAGGAAACCCTATGATGAAACAATGCTGTGTTCTGAAAAAGTCTGGAGGATCTCCATGTTTTAACACTGAGAATTATTACAGTGAGTTTTTCTCTCTCATTCTTACCTGTCCAAGAGCTCTAATTTGGAAAGTAGAAAGTCCTTTATAGACTTCCTTTGAGGTGTGCAAAGCTTTGATGAATAGTTCTAGACACTGTTGATCTGTGCAAATGAGTGGTGCTGAGTGTTCATTGAACTTCCCAAGAATGAGATGCAGAAGAAGAGCTTCATCTTTTAACATCACTTCTGCTCTCTGATTAACTTTCTCCAGTAACAGATCCAGGGTGGGCAGCAGGCAAGAAAGCACCATCTGAAAGTAGACAACATGAAAAAGAGAAAGTGGTTTTCAAGATCAACTAACTGCAGCTTTATCCAACTTCCAGAAATAGGACTTCAACTTTAAGTTGAAGTCCAAAACACTTCACTAGCTTCACTGGAGGGCACTAGCTTCCATAACTTTCATTAACCACTCAAACAGCCTAAGCTATTGGGCAGTATTAAAAAAATAGCTTAGGGAAATCTATTTCAGCTGATTTCATGAAACAAATATTTCAAGGTACAGTTTAGTTGACAGCAGCAAAAAAGAAAAAAAATGCATCTGGATGAGTTAGCATATTGTAGCATATTTCACGTACCTTGCCATTGACATAATCAAGAATTTTCAACACATTTCTTGCAATGTATGATGGACATTTGGATGCTTGTACACATTCAAATAACCCTTCCAGTGCTTCTGACAACTTCTGCTGCTGCGTCTTTTGCTTATGCTGAATATGCAGTTCCGCAAACAACTGTCCAAGACTCTGTTTTATAAAAAAGGAAGGTGGCAGGAAAGGAATCAAAGAGCTTTTCAACGTGCCTTTTTTGATGAACTATGGAAGCATATGTCCATATGTATTGCTGCCCAAACAGCTAAGGTACAAAATCTGGATTGCAATGGTGTATAAACAACAGAACTGCTATGAAATGGAAGATGAGGTGAAAGGGCTTTTAGCAAACTCTCTACTCTCTAAAGGATGTGTGTCCGTGTACTCTCAGTTTTTGGTGTTCTCTAATTCTTTCTGCTTACATCTCACTCCAAAAGTACTACCCCTGCTCGGGATACTGAGCCACATGGAACTGCTCCAACGTGGTGCTCTGCATGCAATTGCACTTTGTGAAAAACTGCAACCATATGAACAGTGCAGCTCACATGAGCTTTCCCATCTAATTAGTGTCTTCCTAGTAGAAGGGAGGGACTGCAGGTGGCGCAGTGGTTTAAACCACTGTGCTGCTGGGCTGGTTGACTGAAAGGTCACCGGTTCGAATCTGCACAACGGGGTGAGTTCCCGTTGCTCTGTCCCAGCTCCTGCCAACATTGCAGTTCAAAAGCATGCAAATGCAAGTAGATAAAAAGGTACCACTTCGGTGGGCAGGTAACAGCATTCTGTGCACTTTGGTGTTTAGTCATGCCAGCCACATGACCACGGAGACTGTCTGCAGACAAATGCTGGCTCCCTCGGCTAGGAAATGGAGATGAGCAATGCCCCCTAGAGTCAGGCATGACTGGACTTAATGTCAAGGGGAAACCTTTACCTTAGTAGAAAAGAGGGAAAGTTTTATCTTGTTGCAAACAGCTCAGCTGGCAACCTTCTGAAGCCAACTTTAATAACTACTTAATGTGCTTGAATTATGAGGAAATGAAGCTCAGCTAGGTTCAGTATCCATCTTGCTTTAATCTGGCCAGCACAAAAAGTAAAGCCTTGGCTGAAAGCTTCTGTAACAAGGGTATGCATCTCCATCCTAGGGTTTAATCCTGCTAGGCTCTCACATCCAACCCATGGAAACTCCTATGGTTCCCTCTCCAGGGTGCAGGACTTGTCTACTAAGCCCCATTCTTACTTTCTTTGGGGAGAGCCACCTTATAAATCCCCTCTGCCACACACATCTCCACTGTAAGCTCCCCACTGCCTTTATCCCCACTGTTATTTCCAGTTAGAGAGAACAACAGGGGAATTCCCCTGAATGCTGATGCCCATCCTGCTCTTATCTCCAAATCAGAGACATGTAGAGTCTACAACTCTCCCTAAACAAAAGCAAGAGAAAGATGGACTCTAGAGAGGAAGTGGAAGTGTGTCCTAGTTCAACCCCTGGCAAAAGCTTTCTACAAGGAGTCTGCCTCCTAGGGATTTACAAGGAGCACGCCCAGTACATGGAATCACTGAAACAAAGAAGAATGGAGAAGAGGAAGCACCTGAATACCTCCCCCCCCCCCACCACCACAAAGTTACCTGGATGATGTAAGTTTGGTCAGAAGTGATCTCCTCAGCTTTCTGCACCAAGTTATGAAGAATAGGATGAAATGCAGATTCTTTTATATTACTTAGGGAATGAAGACAGTTAAGAGCAGCTCTTCGGACTTCACTCACAGGACTTGCCAAGTTGATCAGCAAAGATATGATCACTGGAAAGCAACAGGTAGGAAGAAACTGGTTTTTGTGTTTTGTAAAAACAAGCAGTTCTTAAGAATTGTTATAAACTACAAGGAAGTCTTAAAAAGTGAAAACATCCCTATACCAATTGGAATCTCATTCATTTAGCAGGCCTGACAAGATATCTAAGGACACAAGCCAATGCATGTTAGATAGAAAAAAAATCCTGCAATTTTCAGTAAGCCCCAGCCAGTATGGCTAGCTGCAGCATGCTAGAAGGTGTAGGACATTTTTCAGTCTAAACATGCACAGGGCTGTACCCTCAGTGTTGTATTTCAGAAACTTGCCATCTTCCTGTGATGGCAAGACAACTGAGAATCAGGATGAAGGATGGGATATAAATACTCCAGACAGACAATACTGGAGATCTAGCCTTTGATCAGGATTTAGCATTCAGCATTTCCTCAACCAGTATTGAAACTGATTTTGCCTAAGGTTCCTGCAGTTTACTTCCTTTGTTCACTGCTTTCCATGTCCTTTCCTGTTTCTACCTTCCAAGTTTCTTTGTGCCACTTGAACCAGGTGGTTGAACTATCCACCTAACAAAAATAAGTGCAGTCTAGTAACACTTGATTCAGTTAAGAGGTTTCCATAAATCTTGGCTTTTAGACAGTAGAGGCTTATATAATGTTTTCAGTGAATCAGAAGTTTAGAAGGCTGTGAATTTTCTAATTCTTTAACTAGCTGGTGCACAACTAAAGGAACTGATTGTAATTCTTAGACAGCCCCATCAGCAGCTGTAAAAATGGTGTACACAAGAATACAGCACCTATTATTAAGCAGAGAGGAATGCGCTTGCCCCAAGGCAACAAGCCTTTCCTGCTTGGGCTGTCCACCCTTAAGTTTGTCAGTCCTTATAATGGCACAAAAAAGTTATGGCATAATTTGTAGCCATCATCAAACTGGATAATTCATCCTGATCACAGAGTTTAGCTTACAAGTGAAATTTAGCTTACAAGATACATGCGTTCCTTTTCACCAGAACTGGGATTTTGATACAAAACTATGTTCTGCCCTAAAAACATCCTTGTTTCACTAAAATTATAAAAAAGACATCTACCATAATTAAACATCCTCTTAAATGGTGTGGAGCTTTCCCATGTATGTGTAACCATCTTGTGAGGGAAGATCCTCTGAAATTGCTAAGGCAATAAACCATTGTTTCCCTATAGCTCATCTGAGAGGACCACTGATGTGATAAGCATCACTGCACAGTACCTGGAGAGTCTGCGGATGCTAGCTGCCTCTTCTTCTGCACAGCTTGTGAAGTAAGCATTGCACAGCCTATATACAAGGCTCGAGTCTGCAGTATGGCATCCATTACAAAATCTAGTTGATTGGTGATGTTGTAATTGTAAGTCCACAGGACAGAGAGAAATTTGAATTGATCCTCTGGCTCTTTCAAATGTACCTTGAAATTAAAAAAAGTGCAATCCTTCATTTGTATGTACCCCTCTCTCTCTCCCTCTATGCAGGGAGTCAGTTACTTACTTCTGGCTTTGAAAAGACAAAACTTCTACACTTGATTTCATTGAGAGTACTAACATAAAGCAAAGCTTCAACAAACATAACATTTTAATAAGTTTCCTAATACAGAAATGAACAAACAACAACTATGCACTGAATTTAATACAGTTTTCACAGAGATATGGTACATTTAGTGGTAAACTATGCAGTACCATTGCACTGTAAGTAGTACACAATGCAATGCTAATGCAGTACAATTGATGCTGGTATTTGCACCCCACTGGAGATGGCCGCTCATGTTTTTCCCTCTGTACTTTACATAACAGTTTATAGATGAAATTCATTGACTGTTTGAAGGTTTTCTTTATGCTTCTTCATAATAGGAAATTATATTTAGCCTCTTTTCACAATCTGAGAAAAAAGTTTTGACACATATTGTTGCACATGTCCCTCATTTGCATATGAAATAACAGCCTTTAGCTAATTTAAGTATATCCATCTGTCCACCAATGTGTATTTTCAAAAAGCATATTGCAAAGATAACTTTTTAAAAATACCTGAACCAGCAAAATAGTCAAATGGGCTCTCTTTGAAGATTATATATATAGATTTCAACAAGGGAAAAAAGAATACCTCAAAGAGAAGTCTTAGCATTGCACGAAAATCATCAGCATAGAATCCCTCACTGGCTCCATGAACAAGAATGTCAAAGAGTTGCAACAGCAGCTGTAAATAATCTTTGCTCTTTTCACTTAAAGTTTCAGGATTCCACCACACCTCATCTGTATAAATGTAAAGTAGTACCAATTAGCAGGTGCTCCTAAAATATATACAGAAGCAACAACAAGTAAGCTCTGTGCAAGCCACAGATTTCAAAATGTTGGTCTGGAACTTAAAAAAAAAAAACAAAAAGCTTGCACTTTGTTGCAACAAGCAGGCAAGTGCAAGATGAAACTTTTTCAATCCATAGTTTCTTTTGCAACTGGAAACTTACCTTTCACAAAAGATGCTGGAGGTAACAGCCCTTTGATAAATCTTCTCAATGAAACAATGAGTAAGAAAGAATCTTCTAAATCACTGTCCTCCCTAGCAATTAGCTTTTGTATGTATGTTGTTAAAACTTCCAGGAACAGTTCACTGCCAGATGTGGTCTCAACGGAGAATTTGCAGAGAAATTCCTGAAAGTGAAAATATAGCTTTTTACATGTGTCAATTTCCCCTATTCCTCCATTTATTTTAGGGTTTCTAAAAACTGGTTGCTTGAATCAGAGGGTGCAGAACTTCAGGCCAAAGGGTCGCATCTGGTCCTCTGCAGTTGCCCAGCCTGCCTTTCCCTGCAGTTTTCTGGGTTTTGCACAGATTTCCCCACACTGAAAAGGCTGAAAAGTTTCTCCTAAGGCTTAGCTATTCATGGTGAGAGCTTACAGCTATGATATGGTTATTTTTTGTTTTCCAGCTTTAACTTTTTCGTTTGTCTCCTCCCATGTCATCCTCAGAGCTTCTCTGAAATGGAATTTAGCCTTTGAGCTCTTCTTAGGCACCCTGGCTTAAGAACAGCCTCAGGCAACAGAACTGGAAGCCATGCAGGTATGTTTGAACTAGAGCTGTGAGTTTAAATCAAGGAGAAAGTGTTTGATTTAAGCTGCAGTTTTACAGATCTATCTTGATGGAAGGAGTTTGCCCTGTCTGGTTTTAGAAGTGCTTGAAAAAGGAACAAAAGCATACTTCTTTCTTTCCCTGTTCCATTCAGTTCCCTTTTCTTCCAATGTCACAAAAATCCATCCTCACCTGTACGGGACAGTTTTCCTCAAATTTTTGCATTTTTCTGCTCAAAAGGCGGAAGGTCTTCAAAGCTAGCGGTAAGTGGCGCTCTTCCATTTCTGATGTCTGGCAGCAGGACTGGACAAGGACAGAGCTGATCACATGGGCTGCGATCTTCTGTTTCACGGTATGAGGCTGTTCCTCGGCAATACTGATGAGACCTTCCACCTTGAAAGGGAATCACACCATTACTGTACAATAGTTTTATTTTTTTTTCTACACTTTTGAGAAGAGGGCTGTTCTGAAAGGAACTTGGCCAACAGCTGTGGTGTTTTCTAAATGTTCTGGGTTTTGTCATATTTCTCCCCTATAACTATGCCATATTTGCAGTACTTTTTAATTAAATTTTAAAACAGTACTAAAAACCATGACAGCCCTGCTCAGATCTTCTAAATTCAAGGCTGTGGCTTCCTTTATGGATTAATACATTTCATACTTGGTCCTCTTCATCATTGTCTTTGGCGTTGTTCTCTTCTGCTGCCTTTCATTTTCCCTTACATGTTTGTCTACTCCAATAAGTCTGGCCTTCTCATGATATGTCTGAAGCATGACAGCCTCAAATTTGTCATTTTTTGCTTCTAGGGAAAGTTCTGGCTTGATTTGATGTAGGACCCACCGATATGTCATATGCAGACTATAAAGCTAAACAAATATAGCTGCTACAGTTAAAAGTCAGTCTATTGGAGCATCAGGCTCTGGGGTCTCTGACATGGTGCCATGAGCGCTAATGTACCTCACGGACACCTTTCTTGCTGCTCACTAGGCTCTGAGCTCCTCTTGATTTTTATTTTAATTTTTAAATATCTTTTCAAATTTATTTTAGTTCTTTAACAAAGAGGGTTCTGCAAAGCAAATTGCTGTGGTCCACTGGCATCTTCATTTGTGTTCCAAAGAAAGGTTTTGTGTTTGGGAGCTAAGATTCCACCTCTGCTTTGTCCTCCTGTGCAAGTTACTTTTCTTTTTATCTCTCCAATTTGCTTTTTTGGAAATGGGTGTTTTGTGATGGGCTGTGCCACAGTAGCCATTTCGTGAGAGCTCCCATGGGGCTCTCAAACTGCCATATAGGTTCAATGAATCAAAAAGTATGAATCTTCCTGATCTAGGCGAGTGCCACGTCCACTGGCTGGCAGTAGATCTCCAGGGTTTCAAAAGAGTACTCTCCCTCAGTTAGGGAGGGAAGCTCTTTTTACTTCAGGAAAATGAAATTCCTGAAGAGAAGCAACACAGTTTGAAAAACAACCAACTATCTGTTCGAAATGAAACAATCTTCTCTACTTGTTCTTTCTGAAGAGTACATATTCTACATACGTAAGAAGTTAAACAAATTGCAGAGGAAGCAGGATGTATTCTCAGGGAATAGATGGGTTTGCATTAAAAAAGGACCCACATTTTATTCTTAGGAAACCTCTGAAATGGAGGCCAAGTAGCAGTGCTCAGAAAGGTCATTAGCTGTCACTGTCTGTGTAGCACATATCTAGCTAGGTGAACAGATCCTCTGATCCAAGGCAGCTTCATATGCAATCATCTTGCATTTTTGTTTATTCAACATAGAATGTAAAACATAAGCATTCTATGTGTGGCGTCAATTTAACATGATTGCTACCATACATTGGCTAGTGCTAATATTAGGGTATGTGATGGCACAAGTTCCCCTCAAAAGCCAGTCACATCAGCAAATATGATTGGTGCTGCACTAGAGGCCCATTACACCAGTAAGATATCATTTACAACAGTGTTCATGTTGAATCCTACATCTGTAATTAAAACTGGGTTCAGGATTTAAACGCTGCACTAAGCTAAGGTACCACAAGAAGCATGCCAACAGCTCTGTTTTACTGCTGTATCATCCAGCTCATGAATCCCTTCAATCTGCTAGTCGGACAATTTAAAGAACAACCTTTTAATTAAAAATACCTAGCAAATCGCACACATACCATTTGTAACATAAAGGAAGGCTCCTCAGAAATTAAGTTCTCTGCCAAGAGGTTGATGAATTTTGAATTACAGGCACCTATCAAGTCTTCTGAGTTAGAGGTTACTCCTTGAAAAGCTATTTCAACAAAGCAAAAACAAAGAAGTGTATCAGTCACATTATGGTTAATAAACATAGGAGAATCTGACTAAAAATCATCAACATAATTGCTTTCAAGGCAACCTTCTCTACTTAATTTTTTGTGTAATCTTCTGCAAAATCTTAAGCCTATCAAGCCTCAATCAAGGCCCCTTTTTTTCTCTGTCTTTCTGTCTGTCTTTCCCTCTTTCCTTCCTCTCCCCCCACCTGTTTATGAAGAGAGATCCACATTTTCAAAACTGTGCCAGACATGAGCTGTTTTGCAACTGATCTGTCATTTTTTCATGTAACCATCATGACTATTATCCCATCTTAAATGGGGAACTTTTGTTACATGAGATCAACAATGCAATTCTACTCATAAAAACCAGAGTTCAATTTCATCTTTTTCAATCCACTTCAGGAGCAGCAGTGGCATGAGTCAAGGGCTGCTACTTTGCTTCTCACTGCAGACAAGTCTCCGACCTGTGCTTTAAAATACTCACTTTATTTATACAAAAAAGATACAGAGTAAGCAATATTCCTTCAGCAGGTTGAGTTAGAAACATTGGCTTGAAGAGGAACAAGTTGTGTTAGCAATGGCAACACAAAAGTGGGAAATTTGCTACTTATTCTGCTTTTTGAAAGCAATCATTTTTATGACTTACCTTCTGGCCAACCCTTCAACAAAGGATGTAGGGAGCACAGACCAGACTCTGCTATACAAAGGGCCACTTCCCACTCAGTGGATGTTGAATCATTGCTGGTTATTATTATAAGTGGAAGCAATTGTAAAACTAATTGATTTAAGAGATCTCTATTCTCTCTAAGAATCTCTTCTTTGGATAAAAGGTGAAGTGCACTCTTCAAGATCTTGCTCCTAGGATACACAATGAAGAAGAATGAGATACATATAGATCATATCCCCACAGTCAAATGTTGCCTCAAGATTTCCCTTCCTAAAATGTATTTTAATGTTTTCATACAATACTAATAATGCTATTAATACAAGAGTAGCATATTTAGTGTCAATGGTGCATGCAGGGGTATTCCAAGACCTCTGATGCCTAAAATGGGGTTCCAAACAAAAATGCATTGCACTCAAGGCTCTTCTCGCTATTTCAGCATCTGAAGCAGAAAACTTTCTCTCCTTCCCTGGATACAGTAACAATAAATTAAATAAATGGCAATTTGCAGCCCTTCCTGATATGCAAAATTAGTTGCCTGCTGGCCACTTCGCTCTAACTGTAAAGCTGCCTTGTATTTACTGACAGAGCAAGTACATCGTTAAAATTTGTTAACATAGGTTTTGCATTGTTTGGAGCAGAATTCTGCTCTAATGCACAAGATCAGAGTCCTCTTATTCACAGATACGGAAGAGGTCATATCCTGAACTTCTCTCTTGCATTACAAAAACTCCTTCTACATCTCCCTGAATCCCCCCTCCCTCTACCCCACCACACATATTCCTTTTATAGATACAGATGCTTGCTTGCTTATTTATTTATTTGGAAAACTTATATGCCGCCCCATTAACATAAGCCTCAGGGCGGCTTCCAATCCATAAATAAATACAATCTGTAGAAATACATAAAATACTGGAGACATCCTGGTAAAAATTTTTAAAATCAATAAATAAAATCAACAATTAAAATAACGTTTAAATAAAAAGGTCATGGCCTGGTGCTGAAAAGCAAATAACGATGGCGCCAGGCGGACCTCTCTGGGGAGTGCGTTCCATAAGCTGGGCGCCACCACAGAGAAAGCCCTCCTCCGGGTACTCACCCTCCTAAAATATTTCACGGAGGGCTCCCGGAGAAGGGCCTCTGCCACCGATCTCAAGGGGCGGGAGGGCATATATGGATGCAAGCACTCCTTTAGATAACCAGGTCCCAAGCTGTTAAGGGCATTATAGGTGATAACCAACACCTTGAATTGGGCCCGGACTTCAATGGGGAGCCAGTGAAGCTGATGGAGGACTGAAGTCATGTGAGCACAACGCCCAGTCCCCATCAGCAACCTGGCAGCTCTATTTTCAAGATGCTTGAAAACAACAAAACATAAAACAAAGAAAAACATGCTATTAAATCAGAATCTGCTTTATACAAATGAGCACAAGACAAGAAATTAAAATGAAATGTGTAAAGTTTCTAAAAATTAGAAAAAGTATTGAAGGACTCTATACAAAAGTTCCATATCAAGAATCAAAAGAAAATAAGGAATGAACTAAAACCTAATAAGCCTTAGAGAAAAGTATAAAAATGAGCATTTACCATTTTTTGTCCTTTGAGAGGTCAGCTCTTTCAAACAGACACAATAGATTGAAGCCAATTTGTTTATCAAAAGACTTCAGACTATGCAACAGAGTCTAGAATAAAGCAACACATATAAAAATACACAACAGCATATAGTTAAAAAGTATACATAATGCAGAATCTTATGGAAAATTTATTATTCTTAAGAAGTACCTTTTATATTTTAACATTTTGATTTAAAAAGTTGAAGATTTCTAGATTATTCTGAATATGGTTATTAAATCCACTATAAAGTCAACTTAAATGTTATATTCATCATAATACGTGGCAGAGGTCTAACAAGGAATCTTTTCCCAGAGATGTCTGCCACTATAAACCCCTGATTCATTCTAAGTTTCAATAATGCTTTGGCCATTCAAGAGATGAAGACATACCTCCAGTGCACCAAGAGCTGACATAACCACTTCTAGATTGTCATCCTTAAGTCGTGCTGAAATTGCTTCTTCTATGAAGGAATCATCAAAACCTTCCTAAAAAGGGATGGGGAAAAAATAAACGTCTTAAAGTTAAATTAAAATATCTTTGAATTTTGGATTATCAGCAAAATTTTCAGAAGCAGACACTATTGTTTTAATCATCATACACTACATGTAGCAATAAACCACAGGCCAAGCGATTGCTAGAATCATAGTGACAACATTCACAGGACAACAGGCTAACCTTTTTGTGTATCTTATGGCAATGTCAGAAAATTAGCTGAAGGTTTTTCTAGATTCCCATTTCCAGTTGTGCAATGCAGACCTGCACATCATGAACAATGCACAATCACCATGAGCAAAAGGACAGAAAACACACATGCACATGTTTTCCTACCAGTGTCTGGGCCCAGGAAAAAAGGTTGACAGACTATTGCCACTGAACTATAGGAAGGAATGGCTAGCAGTTCATAAAGAATAACCAGGTAAGAAATTTAACTGGGGAACAGGAACATAGGAAACTATGTAATATAGAGACAGGACACTAGTATATTCAGCCCAGTGTCCCATGTACTGTGGACATTGAATGGCAGTGGCTTCCCAGAGTTCCAGGCAGAATTTTTTTCCACCCTACCTGGAAATACTGCTGGAGTGTGAACTTGGGACCTTCTACATACATGTGTCCTACCATGCTGAGCTATGGCCCTTCCGGCTGTAGCCCATCACCTGAACACATGCTTTACACACAGAAAGCAATCAATGGCTGGTATCTGCAGTAGGACTGAGAAAGATCTCTCTCTGAAATCCTAGAGAGAAACTTTCAGTCAGCATAAACCATACTGAGCCAGATGGGTCAACAGACTGACTCTGTGTAAGACAGTGTCCATGTTCCAATTACCTGTTCCACTTACAGTAAGTTTCAGCTTGTTTATCAGCATGAAATTTGGTGACCTCCAAATAGTTAGTTGTAAGATTAAAAATGTGAGAAATACACAGCTAAAATGTACTTTTGGTGTTAGCTAAATTAATAAGATCTTATTAAAAATCCACTGAAGAATTAGAGAGACCTCAAACAAAAAGATGAAGAACTGACCTCTGATGCTTCAATGATTCCTTTCAAATGCTGAACAGCCAGAACTCTGACTGCTGGCTGTGGATGATTCAAGCTAAGCAGCAGAGATGTATCAGAATCTTCAAGAAACTGGGAATATAAGTTTTTAATTATTCAGTCTACAATCCAAATCCACCTACTTTGAATTCAATGTGACTTTAACAATGTGCTGTTACTATGCCAATAATGGTATACATCTGGAGTAAAACTGCTCTAAATAAAATTTGTATAATATATAGTAGCAAATAGTAATCTTGATTTATACCAGGTTTCCTCAGCCTAGTGCCATCCACATAACCTGCTTAGCAGCTAGTTCCAAATAAATATCCCAAGGATATACTAGCTATACTATACTAGCTGCATTTCTCTGTAATCTCTGAGAAAAAGAAAAGTCTCCGAACCACCTTTAAAATACCCAAGATGGAATTAGGGAATGGAATAAACCAGAGGGACAGCATCTAAAGCAACTTTTTATCTTTCCACACTCAGATGTCTGCCAAAGAACTCATTTCATCTTGGATACTGGCCAGGCCTGTAAGTCTTAATTTGGTACCTCCCATGAATTGAAAATATGGCTTAGAACATGACCACTGTTTCTTGGCATCTGGTGGGAAGTAGCTGTGAACAAACCACCTTTTATCTAACATCACAGATCTTCTCTTTGAAAAGCCTTTGATAAGCTTCCAAAGAAACCCAGAATGAAAATCACAGATCTTGACACAATGGGGGCCATCTCTTCTCTGTTATGGTTGTTAGCTATGGACCAAATGGCCTGTTGGCATCTCTGTGATTCCAGTTGTAAGAATACAGAGAAAGAATGGTGGATGCCATGTCCTCATAGCATGATAACAATGTTGCATAAAGTTCCTCTAACCAAAGGGCTAAAACCATAACAATCTTAGAAGAAAGCAACTTTTCATCAGAAAAGTATAAGAACCCCATCAAAGTTAATTTTAAAAGATTGTGCCACCCATCACACCCTTATTAACTAAAACTTCAACAATGGGAAAAATCCTTAAAGACTGCAGAAAATTACTTTGACTTACTTGGTATTTACCACCACTCATTGAAAGGGAGATAAATTGATGGAATTTGTCTTGCTCCTTCTGATTCCTAACATCTTTCAGATATTCCTCCAGTACCAAATCTAGTGTTCTGGGATATCTGCCATTAGCAAAGAAAGCAATGAACAATATTGTATTATAGGAAATATAGTAAGCCATCTCATTTTTCAAATTTCCGGGCAAGTAACATTAGTTTCAGATTATCACTCAGGCCACCTGAATATGTAACTCAGTGAAAGGAATTCTGTTAATCAAAGAGTATGTTCCACCAACTGAAGGACTCTGTCACTGCAAAATGGAAGGACATGAAGTTCACCTATTCCCCCTTCCCCATGTACCTCTCACAAGATGACTTGGGACGTTCAAAAGTAGAATGAGAGGCTACAGTGGGAGGGGGAAGGCTGAAGATTGCACCCCTCCCTGGTCCACTTGCCTTAGTGGAGGTAGTTGGATTCTGGCTGAATTTATTTTTGAACTATTCAAGCTCTAGGTAGGTAAATTAGGTAAATTAAAACATTAAATTTTTAACAGCTATGCCAGAATAAGCAAGACTCCTAAATAGCCTTCTAAATCTTCTCATTCTGGATGATTTTAGCCAGTGATTTTCATTATTACTGCTATAGTGCATTTATATCCCATGTTTTCCTCTTGCCAGCAACCTAGTATAGGATGCATTGTCCTTCTCTTTTCCATGTTGGCTTCACAACAACTGTGTGAGGTGGGTTCAGCTGATAATAAGCCAGTGACTGAGCAGTGACCATGGCTAAGTGGGGACCTGAACCAGACCTTCTGAGTCCCAGTCCAACATTCTAACTCTTACACTATACTGACTCTCCAGTGATCTTTAAGCTCTTGTACTTATCTTTTAAAAAAAGTGTTCTACAGAAATTGTTTTCACCACTAGAAGAGGTCCACTTGTTTTAATGTTTGCTTTGTGTTCCACAGCTTTCAGTAATTTTGTATTATTAAATTTGTTTTAACTTCTTGTTGTTAGCCATGATCCTGACTTATTTTTAAAAAAGAAAGATGAAGGATAAATATTTTAAATGAAGAAAAGCACTGCAAACTGCTCAAACATTATAGTGGTGTTTTGAAGGGAAAATTACATATTCAAGACAGACTTTCCAGTTTTCATGAAATAACTTATACTAAACAAGAGGTTTTGCTCATATTGATCAGTTCAGACTAAGCAAAAGCCCTGGTTCTGGACAATGCGCCAACCTTAGATTAACATCCTAACAGCTTCAAGGTGTTGCCGTTCAGAATAGCAGCTGCAGTGGTAGCTGGAAATGCAAATGCTGGGTAGGAAGACAATTAATCCTCTCCATCTGGAGGTGAAGAGTGGGACATGGATTTATCTTGCATGCTGCGTTGAGGTTGGTAGAGAACATGACAGAGTGCCACTTCACAGGGATGTTCTACCAGGAACGCTTCATAGTGTAATGTCCTAGGCTGGCTTCCTACACACTTTCAGATATAATGCATGGAGTCATTTGCCCTGTAAAGATTTCAATAGTTTGGGATCCTAGAAACAACATCCTTCTCATATCCTACTGCATCTATTAGCTGTGGCTATGAGCCCGTTGGGTGCTGTGGAGACAAGGCAGAGGCAAGGGAAGCACTCTTAAAATGAACATAAGCAGGCAACTTCCCTTCTTGCTCACATGCAACCTGGAAAGGAATTACATATGGCCTGTCCTGCCCTACTGCTATCAAGGTTTTCTTGCTGGAGTCTCTAAGTCCCCCATCTTTTGGTCAAAACTGGAGGGCAACACCCAAGCAGAACCCCATCCAACATGCTTCAAGTCAATGGCCTGCTCCAGACTTGAGTCCTGCAAGCTCTATGTTAACCCCATCATTCATACGCCATATCCAAGCAACCTCGACATGTTTTATCATCTTCAATGACAGCGGAACCTTCTGTGTAAGACTCACCACAGGCCAAGAATTTTCAAGCAACAGTAGAAGGTCTTCCATTCAGATAAGTCTTTGATGGATAGGAGACAGAGCCTTAGGGAGCGTTTTTCACCCAATAATTTAATATCTGTTTTTAAACTGGAATCTTTAATGAAGCTCAATGTAAACTGATTCCACCTGTTTCTAAACATCTTAACCCAACCGCTACAAAACCTTTGGAAGATTGCAAAGTAAGACAGACTTAAAACAATAGAACAGATCTACAAATTTTGTTACAAATTCAAGTATGTATTCTGGTACCAGTTCCACATACTGACATACTATGTATGCCAACGTACACAGAGATTTGTTACCCATAAACCTCATTACTTACTTTCTTTCGAAAAGCCTAATTAGAGGTAGCAGCTCTTTATTAACTGGAATCATTTCAGCAGGATCAGAGTCACTTTCTGCACCATAGGAGATATAGTATTCCAAAAATTTACTAAAGGGTTAAGAAAAGGAACAAATTATCTCTTTACACAAAAGGCAGTGGCAAATAACATTATTTTGTTAATGATTTCAAGCAATTTCAAAACAGCAGTACAAGGTTTTTTTTTTTTTTTGTAAGCTGAGACTTTTTGAAGTACATAATCACCAGGTAAAAGATTTTACCTCTTCAAGGACAAACATGAGTGCTTTACATATATAGCAACATTCACAAAGAGTTCAGTGGAATTTAAAATACTGCAATATCAAAATGTTTCCAGTTTCTAAACACTAGATTTTCCAGAAGTAGCAGGAAAAGGGACACAGATTGGCAATCGATACTAGTTCATATCTGAACAGTCAAATTGTAACATAAAAGGAGTTAATGGTTGCATTTGGATGTGACAATATTTCTTTAGAATTCTAGTGGATTCTGAAAGCAAGTGTGCTGACACATGCTATTCACCTGCTCCTCCTTCTGCACTGGGACCAGGAACTCAGCCCTGATTTGTTCAGTGTAGTTTTCTTCAAACTGGTATAATCCAGGTGTTTTGGACTTTTTCCATCAGCCTCAGCCAGCATGACCAACAGTCAGCAATGCTGGGAGTTGTAATCCAAAACATCTGGAGTGTATCTGGTTGGAGAAAGCTGGCTTTGTAGAATGTCTGAACAAGAATCCCTGGGTTCTTGCTTTCTCAGCAAGTGAGAGTAATAAGCCAAAAACAAGTTCTGGATAGCAACTTGGGTCAAATAAGAAGGAAAAAAACAGAGATTCCATCTTTGGATGTTGCATTAAAGAAATCAGAGATGAAGATCAGATTCACACAACACAGTTAACAATACTCAAGTGTTGATTGTGGGCTGTTGTTGAGCTATGGACTCTCATGTTGTCTGAACCAATCCATAATAAGAAGTCAGGTTTGTTAATCTCAAAAGGCCCTAAAAGGAAGCCATGGCTTACTGTTCAATTGTGAACTGTGCGTGGTTCATAGTTAACAGACCATGGTTATCATTGCTAGGTTCAGACACAACAACCCACATTCCTCCAACAATCCACAGTTCAATCACAGCCTGCATTTAACCTATAGTCAACCCCTGAATGAGGTTTATTGTATTGTATGAACCTAGTTAGAAAGACCCAAAGCAGAGACCCCAGTTTGGATATCACACTAAGCAAACATGCATGGAAAGTCCTTGGCTTATTTAGTTGCTTCCACTAGAGAAGCCAAATGGCAGCAACTGAACAGCATGTATAAGCACACTTGCTTCTTCACACTGTGGCTTAATGTGATATCTAAATAAGGAAGTCTCTAACCAGTGATCAACATCACGAAATAAAGTGGCTCAATAGAAGAGGTTAGCTTACCAGGCCAATAAGTGATCCAAACCATTTTCTAATGCTATATTTGTAATTATATCTTCCAGCTGTTTTATAGGGCTTTGAATGCCAATGATGTCAGATTCTTCTAACTCTGAAAACAGGAAGTTATAAAGAAACAGCAACTACTTTTAGAAATGAAGTCACACATATATATCCCAATATTCTCAATGCTTACTATACTGAAGCACAAAGACATGCTGTATTATAGCATAATGTCACAGTTTTGGAGCACGGTGACAGAGATCCAGCAAGTCACTATCAACAATCATTCTTCTAAGCAAAGTACAATAGCTATATATTACTTATAAGCAGAACTACTTAACATACCTGTCTTTCCATAAATAACCGACTGAACTAGGTATGGCAACATGTAGCGCAAAACTGGGCTGACATCATGAGTTGTTGAAATTTCACAAAGCATGGAAATCAAGTTGGGTATCATACACAGACGGGTAAAAGGCCTGCAACAGAAATAAAAAGAAGCCATCATAAACATGCTTTTCTTCACCTACACTTTCAAGAATTCTCAGTTGTTAACAACTTGCTATTAAGCAAAAAATTTCTAGTGGCTTAATAAGGCTTACATTTCACCTGATAAACTACAGATCATGATGAGCTCATGAGATTTAAAGATAAGGCTTGAGTACAGAATATACTTGAATCTTTGCCAGAGATGAACATGCCTTTTCCAACATTTTGATGAAGGTTTAGTTTATAGCACAGCAAAGTTCATTAAGTCCTTGAGCTGCCCATTAATTTAGTCTCAGTTCGGTAGCTACCTCACTCTGTTACCTTACTCCAATACTCCAGAAAGAAGTATTTTCAGGTATAGGGTTAAGGGTAGTTGCCGATCATTTTGGAACAACCAGAAAATCTAGCTGGTCTTGTCATCCTATGCACTGTAGGAAGCAGTACACTTTCCCATTCAAATCAGTCTTCAACTCCTCCTTCTCCCATGGCTTGACCCCAGGAGATGGCTTGACCCCAGGGTTCAGCAGTGATCTGGACAAATACAGAGACTAAAGAAACAGTGGTACCAATGGAGGAGGTACAAGGCCCAGACTCCACTGAAGAATTAAGAAACCCTGCTGGAGACTTCCAAGGTAGATATGTCAAAGATTCCCAAGACAAACTCCTTTGAGCCTGGAACAAAAACCTCAGCCTTTTAACCCAGCTCCAGCAATGAGCTAGCACATCCACCAGCGAGATCTACAGCCTGTGGAGCCAGGGCACCAATACAGGCTATTTGCCTGACATCAGCTTTTGGAGAGCTGAAGGACTGCTAGAGCTCCTGGCAAGGTAGCTGCCCCTTTCAACTTTCTACAGAAATGGTAGAGTCTAAGAGAGTCAAGACATAAATGGCTTCAGTCTTTTTGGAGCAAGTTGCTCATTATGAATCCTCTTACACAAAACACTATGCAATTCTTGGGATCAAAACAGAAGATACCCAAAGCACTCCAGGAGACTGGATGCTTTACCAACAGGTGGTTCCATCTTATTGTAATGATTCTATTTGTTCTTAGAATTCCTACTTTCTGGGGAATGCCATATCTGGGTTAGTGCAGCTTGTTTGTTGGTGACTCCTGGAATGCTAATAGCCCAGTCCTTATTCCTGAAACACCAACATAGATCCTTAGGAGAAGGAATCCTCAGAGTGTCCAGATATTTACCAACATTAAGCAATGCATCTTGTCATCCTTTCAAAAGAAGCATTACAACCTCCAAGATATTTTAAAGGTATCCTGAACTAAGGCTGAAATTCAGTGCATGTGGCCATAGGACTGCACTGCTAGTTTGCTTTTGCAAAAATGCAGTTATGTACATATTTGAAATTTGGATGTCAAAAGAAAAGTCAAAGAAGTGGGAATTGTTTTTTCAGAACACTTTAAATGCATCAGCATCTGAATTTTCTTATTATTTACTCTTGTTCAAAAAGCTTCAATCATCCACTCAACTCAAATTCAGTAGGCAAGATTTCCATATTGCCCCCAATCCCCAACATTATGGATAAATGTGGTAGTATAATTATAGTATAGTTACTCTCTCTTTTTCAAAGACAGTAACTATCAACTTGAATTCAATGTTTGTAGAAAGAAACAACCATAAAATGCAACTTAGTTAAAAGCTGCTTCAGTGACTGATGACTAAAGAGATGTATCAATTGCCCTATCAATCCTTATTTGTATGCTTACTTTTTCCCAAGGCCATCTCCCTTCTGATTCTGTAGAAGAATGATCAGGCAGCTCAGCCCTTCTTTGATAAGGGAGGGTGTTTTAGCCAATGTCTTGCTGATTTGTAACATCAAGGAATGGAGCAGAGACTTTTCCATTGTCATCTTCACAGCCAACTGGGAAATGATCATGTAAGTTGCAGCTCTATAATCTACCAATGACGATTTCAAGCCCTACAGAAAGGAAATAAATGGAAAATATGTCTGACAACTTAAGCACAAAGAAATGTCAACAACGTTAGAGGAAGTATTTCATTGCAGGCTTACAAACCTATAAAAATGTTTGCCTTCCAAAGCCTATGCAAACATAGAAACAATATAACCACTGACATGAAGATGGAAAACCTTAGCAAGCAAGGGAGTGCCTGCTTCTGAAAAAGAATACCTCAGGTGGACTATTGCCAATTAACAGAGCATGTTTACCAGCAGCTGCGATGTGGAACTTAACCCTGAACCAATACTGAAGTACCATTTGGGTTTCCATATATCAAACAGGGATGATAATGAAATAAGGATTATAAAATCCCTTGTGTTCTAAGAGAGGATGAAAGAAACTTTTATTTCTAATTCAAACTCTGTATAAATATGAACAGTTAAGAAAATAGGGATTAATTTTTAAAATGTGACAGATTGTACATATTCCTTTGACAAAGGTGTTCTATAATGCTGGTGCATCTGCGAACTCAACACTGAGCATACAGCTAATCAGAAAAGTGATCTCACGCAACATAATTCATCAAAAACTAACGGCTGTAATATAAAGAACAAAACTAATCACTTTGAGGAAAACTGGGTCAATGGATACCTTTTGGATATAAGGGAGCAACCTGGAGACAAGAGTGTCTGTTATATTTTCTGCAGCTCCAAGAGCAGACACAATTGTAGAGGCATAAAAAGTAAACAGGACTCTCATCTGTGATAAGCTCTCTGGATACAATGAGAAAGCCTAGAAAGATACAAACATAAATTCAGGATAACAAAAAAAGGGCAGCATTTCTTTGACTACAAAGAATATGCTTTCCATAGCATCTTAAGAAAACATTAAACTGGTTCACACACTCACCACTCAGAGACCCTGTACATGTGGTCAATGGAACTGGCATGCACATACCTTTTTATTTAAGCAGCATTTTAAATGTTAATATTATTGAATTTTATTTGGCCAGGGCGGCTTATTTTATTCTATTGTATATATTTTAATTGTTATTGTTTCAATTTATTGTGTATTTTATTCAATGTTATGAGCCGCCCCGAGGCTTCAGCAAGGGGCGGCATAGAAATGTTTAAATAAATAAATAAATAAAATACCTCCCACTACACGTACATAGTTATGTGTACCTGCAATTTGTAAGACTAGCAGGGACACGATTGTACAAGCCGGAAGATATGGTATGTGACGTTCCCTTGCATGTAATACAGCATTAGAAGCAGGCAAACATGCACAGGATAGCCAGCTAACGAAGATGCAAAGTGTCAGAAATTTCAATTACAGCAATGTAAGCGGAGCAACTCTATTATTCTATGTTGTAGAAGCGAATTCCATGGTTAAAACAATGCACTGGGTGAACTGTTTCCTCTTGTCTGTAGCAATTTTCCCACCATGTGGATGACTCCATACTGTAGTATATATAGTTGTCCAATAAGTTTGTAATTTCATAGTGTGATATTAAGTAAACAAAGCTGTTGTTCAGATGTGCCCAGCATAAGCAGGCTCAAGCACAATAATTCCAGCTTTGTATATTTAAGCACCCATTTTCTTGTTTCCTTTCAGTGTTTTAATTAAGTACTTGTTTTGTTACTTGTGTATACTGTTGTGGAGCCTATTAAATTGAATGCACTGGGGAGGTTCACCGACCTTTACAGATTTTGTCACTAGGCTACATATGAAGTCCATGAAACCCAGATCTTTGTGGCAGTGTGTAATTAAAGTTCCCCTTGCAAGAGGGACTCCTGGTTTCTGTAATTGAGAAGGTCAAAAGGAAATAATTAGAGAAACTGAAATAATGTAGAACTGTCAAATTTAACAACACAGACAAATTCAAGTCATGGTACAGCTCTCATTGTCATAAACATAAGGTACCTTGAAGCACATTAGTTTTAGGTACTGAAGAGGAAGCAGCCATGCTGCAAAGTGATAGTATGTTTGCCACATGACACTTTTGCCCAGCAGCTCTCCATAGCAGAGGTGGGCAAAGGTAGAATTCTACATGGTAAGAATTCAAGGTCCCTAAGCCCTTGCCAACATGACTAATGATTAGGAATCTTCTTTCCACTCCTGCTCTACCTTTATTATATAAAAACAACACTCTACCTAGTTATATTAAGTAGGTCTCATCTATCTTCATCGTATTTGTGCATATGACATGTTACATGATTGCAGCCTTGTGGGCCAACCCTATTCATTTATACCCTAAGTAAAGCTCAGAAATAAATTAATTTAATGAGATTTATTCTAAAGTAAAGGGGCAACGTTATACAGACTTTCATGGGAACAGCAGCCTGCACCTATCTCCTCACCCATCCTATCAGAGCCAGTCTGGTGCATGACTGAGTGTCACACTAAGAACAGACAGGTCCAGCCGCAATACAAAAAAGAAAGACAATTCTATGCACAAACATACTGATGAGAGAAGACATTAGGAACAGAATATCACTACTTCACCTGAATTGGATGCAGCCAATGCCACTTATGAGTAGGGTCATTTATTTTCAGAAGCTGGATAACACGCACAAACAACTTAGTCTCATGATAGGGCAATACACAGCCAATCAAACTGTCTTGGTTGTAAAGATGAATATGAAACCTGAGTAAAAAGGTAAAGCACACACACAATTAAGACATACTTTATAGGTCGTACCCAGTTGTGTTCTTCCACCAGAACAAATAGTACTGATGAATCAAATTTCCCTTCGCCAGTGCATGCCCCACAACTGTTTCACAGGGTGGAAGTTCCCCCTGGAACAGATTTAGGGATGAGGGGAAGAAGGGCAACTCCCACTGGGCATGCACTTGCATAACCCTGGGCATAGTGAGCCAAAGAATTTGACTGCAGAATACCTGTTAGGGATCACAGCAATGTCCATCTGGCATGTTAAAATGCATGATACAAAATTAGTAGGGTATAACTCAAACCCCTCACCACTGAAAGATATGCACGTGGTTGGAATAAAGCTAGATCTGTGCATTGTCTTCAAGGGCAAACTGCCCAGAAAGCTTGAACAGTTGACTTCATTAGTTAGAGAAGTTCACTATAAATAAGCAATTGATAGGCGTGGATGGACTACCTGTGAATAAGCCACTCAAGACACTTCTGTGCTGGCTTAAGCATGAAGTAGGGAGACAAGTGAATCAGGAACAATGAAATACTTTCATCCAGTTGCTGATTTACTGCTTTAGTTTGGACACTGCGCTCCAAACCTTTGGACAGTTGACTGAAAAGTGCTGACTCAAACTTCTGAAAGGATGGATCAATCCCAATCAGCTCTTCTAGGCCAGTGCACCCTATGAAAGGCATTAGAATAGTTTCAGTGTATCGTATTAAATTTAAAGCCCATTCAGACAGTCAGCAATCTATTCAGTGCAGAGGGTTCCTGAAGATAAAACCTCATGGAGAAAGGAAATTACAGCTCTACAGATATTATCTTTTCCGCACAAATGCAGATACATTCTAGAACTGTTTGAACTACTCAGTCTAAAGCACTCTACTATGGTTTATACAGACTCAAGGAATGCAGGATACTATTTATTACATTTATACATTTCTTTTCAACCAAAATTATTTTCTACTACACAACATTTCTTGTTCTAACCACCCTGAACAAACCATACTAACCTTCTCCAAGCTGTACCCTCCAGAAATGTTGGGCCACAAATTTTAGCACCACCAACCTTACAGTTGGATGCTGGGAGTTGCTGCCCAACACCTATGGAAGGCACTAGGTTGAGATCAAATAAACTATAATACTATCTCTCTCTCTTAGCATATTCTATGAATACAACACAAATTTATAATTGACTGAATCCAAAAACAGCCATCAGCCAGATGGCAAGAGCTTATGGCTGTTGTCTAGATGAAAAAATGTTATTATTAATATGTCTAATATAACTGCAGTTGAATACAATATGTGCTTTTTTAGTTTAATATGCTACATAACGTAAACAGCTTTCAAATTTTGGGGGAAAGAAGTGTAATGAGAATTCATTTCATACTTTACTGCTACTATACAGGAATTGTGAGTCAAGATTAAAGAACTTCCCACTTGAAATTCACAAAGATAAGAAAGCATTTGTCCACTTGGAGCAACAAAAAACAGTTGTTCTGTTTTTCCTTATGGCAAGATGACAATCAGCCTTACCCTGACTGCAAATACACTTATTAGCAGTGAGCTCATCTTTTATTTTTTATGCACAAATGAGGGAGGCTACCAAGGCCAACCAACATTTGTTGATGCCTGAGAATACTTAACAGCTGCCTTCAGGACCATACTTACCTATTGCAAAGAAGGTCTCCCTGTCAATACTGGCCGCTTCCTTGCAATCAAACAGCAGTGATGCTGCTTCACTTCGAGACAAGAGACTTGGATCATTTTGAGGCAGCGCAAGGCGCTTCAGCTGGTGGGCAAGGGATGTCATTTTTCACACTCCTGTGGGAGAAAAATTAGTTACTGCATGTCATAGATCAACCCAAAACTTATCCAAAGAACGTATCCAAAGACTCTCTTTCCCAATTGTTACCAGTCTAATATCTACATAAATCATATCAGTTTTGGCTGAGTTGGCTGAAGGCCAGCACCATATAAGCTATATTGGTAGCAGGCTATACAAAAACACAGGAATCCACTAGAACACAGCAATGAAGCATCACAGTGGTACTGCTACTAGGGGTAAGCTCAAATGTACATGTTCATCACACATTAAGCAATACTGTGTACATGTGAGACTCTCATCATGTCAAAAGTTCCACAGAGATATTCCAAATTGATACTTTATAATGAAGGCACTTCGTAAGTCCAGCTCTATGTACCTTACTTATTGAATATCACATGACAGGCATTCATGGCTGAATTAAGGTCCACATACCCTACAACAGTATTATTGACCCTTTAGAGGTCACTCATATGCTGGCTGGTACATGCTGGGAGTGGTTGCTGTATGCCAAAGCATACAAAGGATTGCACCCTACCAGAAAATTAAGTTTCCTGACCACAAACAGTATACATGCTATAGATAACAGACAAAATGTTTATATTAATGAACACTGAGAAATGCTAATAGCCACAGACACTTTTCACATACAGTGAACACAACTGCAAGTGACAGTAGAACATTGTGGCAAGCCTCACATATACTTACATGTATTCACAGAGGGAAGACTCTGTATACAACACTAGGGAGAGTGCTTTTTTGCAGTGCTTATAGGCTTGTATACCATTTATACAAGCCTATAAACACTTTTCAGGCATTCTGTCCCCACACAGCCTGAATGAATGGAGGGGGGCCATATCAGCTGAAGATCTGGAAGGAGTTAGATCAGAAGCAAGGTGTTATTGCACTTCATAAGAAGAGTTATGCTGGAGGAGACAAAGGTCCATCTAATTGAGCATCTTGCTTGCACAGTGGTCAACTAGTTGCTTGGCTGACTTTGATCTTGACACAGCATCGAGTAACACGGCCAATAGACAGGGATTAGAGCAACTAGTCCAACAACATCTGAAAGGTCATAGATCTCACACCCCAAGGCTAGAGAGTTTAGTGAATGCATACTTGGGCTTGACCTCACAGTCTGACTCTCCTGTGAGCCACCTTCAGTCTCAGTGAACATCCAAGACTAAAGCTACAATCTTTCAAGCATTTACTTGGGAGTAACCCCACTAAATTCAGAACTGAGACTTTGGAGTACCAACACACAAAATAGAACTGTAACAGAAGTTTGAAAAACTGGGAAACACAAAGCCTATGCACATTTAAACAAGTGCAAGCATTTCACAGCTCTAACTCCAGTTAAACATGCCCAGTCAAAATTGGCCTGTGACTTTTGAGAGGACCACACACAGTGTGGTGTGCATGTATCTGCAGTAAAAGTTTTGGCTTACGACTCTGATCTGCTCTAGTCTGCATAGGCATTGCTAAGGCGTTATAGGAGCTGCTATGGAGAACTTCTGGAGAGCCACAAGTTGCTCACGCGTGGTTTACGGCATGCCATCCATGCGTACTGTACAAAAATTAAAAACAGACACAAAATTTTCCTGCCCGGAAGTCTTCGCACCATTCCAAAGCCCTCCAGACACTACTGCGTGTGTGTGTGAGAGAGAGAGAAATGAGAGGAAAAGAAGCACAAAGTAGCTGTTCTTGAGGGTCTGCCAAAAATGAGGGCCTAAGAGGAATGGGAGACAGCGAATTGAGCTACGGAGAGGAAGAGGTGACCCTTACGGATTTCCGTTGCCTCCTTCCCAGAGGGTGCTTTGCGCCTTGCAAAGAGAACCAGTAGACCTTGCCAGGAGAAGAGAAAGGGAAATCGTGCACTGGAACGGCAAAGCTTCAGCGTACCTTGCCGATGCCTACCTTTAACGAGCAACTAGCAAATCCTCCTTCTTCCCACGTGGATAGGTTCTCCCGATGTCTCACCCTTGACCTGGAAGTACAAACATGAGGCCGAGTACTTCCGCTTCAGTCCTAGAGCGTAATGTCCAAGACTCTCGGCGGTCTCTCGCCTTCCGTGATTGTTTGGGGGTCTCTTTGCTGCCCCCACGAGGCTGTTGACTGAGTCGCATGTGACTAGCATGGCTACGGGCTCAAGAGCTTTGTTCGGTGGAGGGTTTTTTTTTAATATGTAAAAAATACATGCCAGCCAATGCGAATATTTATGACGCTGTTTTCATGTGGCAGAGAAAGATAGACTTGTAAATCGTGTAATTCGATTTTGGGTGTAAAATTTTAAAAAGGGATTGTTTCTTTTTTCTGCTTTTAGTTTGTTTTGCTGTCTCTTTGAACTAATTAATATGTCTCAAGATATTTTTAGGTCCACAGAATAAGCTCAGATTTCAAAATCTGAGGCAGAGGTTCGCTTTGAGACCAGACCAAAAAAAAGGGGGGCCTCCAAAAGTTAAGTGCAATCTAATGCATCCTTATTCAGAACTGAGTCATACCGAATTCAAAGTTGCTCACTGATTCTTTGTTATTTTTAAACTAAAATCATTAAAATAAATAGGAAAAAATAGCAGTACAAGGGTGCAATCCTATGCATGTGTAGGCAGAAACGTCCCCTGGGGAACCATTGTAGCTTGATAATCCTGAGACTTCTTTTATGCCTAAGCATTTGTAAGATTGTATCCTAATATTTTTTATTGATTTATTTATATTGCAATTTATATCCTGCCTTTTTCCTACAAAGGGCTCAAGGCAGCTTACATCATTCTCCTCCTCCATCTGATCCCCACAACAACAACCCTGTGAGGTAGGTTGGGCTGAGAGTCTGTGACTGGCCCAAAGTCACCTAGTTGGCTCCATGGCTGAGTGGGGACTAGAACTCAGATCCTCTGAGTCCCAGTCCCCTGCTCTTAACCACTACACCACACTGGCTCTCTAATACTGGTTCCAAAGTTCTAATACTTTGGAACTTCATTGAAAAGGTTTTAAAAGGCATTGTAACTACATAGCTAAGTATCTAATACTGGCATAAATAATACTGGCATAAAACCCTTTTGTTTTAATACATTTTGAGGGCTTTCCTTGTTCATTCAGCTGCCACTTGGTCATGCAGTTAACCAATGTGTTATTTAGGCAATAGTTACATGCTCTGATATCTTTGTTGCAGTTAATTCCCGCTTCATCTTTGCTTTGGAGCTGGATGGCCCTCACCAGTGGAGTGGTGGATCAAAGTCCTGATTCATCTTTTCACTGGAATAGACACATCCAGTCTATTCAACAGAAGCTAACATTACGCTTTACGTTGGCAACTAATACCCACCCACAAAGCATGACAGATTTGGAAGGGCCCTTGATGATCATTCCATTCCAATTTCCTGTCACAGGTACAATTATTTAAGGGTACAATTCTATACGTGTTTAGACAGAAAGTGGCTGGGACATACTGGGAATTGTAGGATCTTTTCTGTCTAAATATGTATAGAATTGTGTCTTAAAGCACGTTCCCTTCGAGCCAATTGCTGCAGCAATATTTTACCCACATATCCAGGACTGAATTACATTCAATTCAAGTGAGAGAATGCTGCAATCTTGTCAGCACAACAGCATACATTGCGCTCTTCCCGTTTTCAAGCAGCACTGTAGCAAGCATTTTCTGTGTCAGGACTGAGTTCTGTACTATGCAAACTGTTCCCTATGACAGATTGCTGTGACCTTACCGTACTTACAAATGCATCAAGTGGGGATGTGGGAAGTGATGCCTCTGTGCGCCTTATGAAGATTCTACCTTGTCCAAGTATGGCATCCACGTGGAGAAGAACTGACCCCTACATATACTCAGTGCTGTAACAAGTCTTGAACCCACACACACAGATTTTATTTTGTTATATGATGAGATGATTTTTAGAGAGCAATTTACAACACAGCATCCAATAGAGAAAAAAGATCTATTATTTATTTCTTCAAAATATTTCTCATCTACCTTTTAGGGCAGGAGCCTTTTCAAGGCATCTTACAACAATAAGAGACTTAGGGCAGGATCCTATACCCACTAGGCAGAGTACAGAGGTCTCAACTTCAACATGAGAACACACTTCCTGTGCTCTTGTAGTCAGTGCAGTTCCTTTCATGCCAACTGCAGCTAAGAATTCAGAAAACTGGAGGTTTATAGGAATTCTGAGGGCAAGGCAAGAAGAAGTGAGATTCCGCCTCAGACTGTTGCACTTAAAATCTGGGAGAAAAGACTTCGCCAAAATTGGCTGTCTAAGCCTTAGCAAGCTGGATAAGTATGGGGTGGCCCTCACTTCCATGCACCTAACACCCTCAATTTGCATAATCCTCTGAGTTGGGAGGGTTACAGGCAGCCACATTAGATGGTGTTATTTAATTTCATAAAAGTGATGCTTTAAATGCAGCAATAAACATGCCTGTGTGCACACATGAATCCGGGGAAGCCCAGAGTAACAAATAGGTTTTTGGAGCCTTCCTAAAAAGCCTACATTGTTGGGCCTGAAGTCCTCAGAACTCCAGAGGTAGGGGTTCACTATGGAGAAGACCCTCTTTCAAGAACTTGCTGATGCAGCTGCCCTAAAGCTGGGCAAGTGGGAAAAGTTTTTTGTTCTGTTTTAATCTTAAACTTACCCTATAAATCATATTGCATGCTGTGACATCAACACTAAAAATATCAGTACTTCATACATTTAGATAGTACATGTTTTCTGGAATAAAACTAGATTGTTGTCAATATAAATGCAAATCATAAGAATGCATAGTTTGTAAAGACAAAGGAAGTGGGACACACTAATAAAAGAAAACAAATTCAAGAGCTTGGGTTGCACACCCTCATTGGACAGGGTGAGGCCCACAAAGAGGTCAGTGGTGTGAATAGTTCACACTGGCTATGAAAGACAGGAGAAGATACTGGAGAAATCCAAGGAGGGAACTTGGAAAGTCCCAGGTAGAGATGACAGAACCAGTTTACCTTAGAAGAGAGATAGTGATTATGACAACTGCCTTGATCATAACTGGGTTATTCATTAGTGTGTGAGTTAAATGGGTATTCTAAGGTTGCAGGAGCAAGTTCATATGGAATACTGGTTTCTGAATATAAACTCTGTGACTTTGAAGCCAGCAAAACTCAAACTACATTCCTTTGAATTGCCCCAACCAGCCCAAACTAACTGTGATGCATATCATGCCTCAGTGGCCTTGCACAGACGTCTCCCCCCCCCCCCCCCCCACCCCATCCCAGCAGTAGTTAAGAACCCTGTGTGGGAAAAAAGTTATACATTCTCCTTAGTTTCTCAGCCTTGCCAAAAGACAGATCAGTAAGGATAGTGAAGAAACATGTAGGATCAAAGGGCTGAGTAATTTAGGTACTGACTAACGCAGTTGCAGCATGTATTAGTATGTGAGAAGTAACAACAGGGATTCAGTTGGGTCTTTGATCTGTCTTGAAGTATCCTGGCAAGGGTCATTCGGAGACAAGGTGGGAAAGGTGGGAATAAATTCCCAGGCTGGTGAAGCATGACCAAGAGGGGAGGGGGTCCATGGAAAATTATCTAAGAGGAGATGTTAACTGTAAATGCTTTGTTTTAATTGTGCTTGGGGCAGTCCCTTAGCACTCTGTCTACACACATGTATGCTCTGTGTCTCACCTTATTCTTCATAAGGTGTTGTTGGCTTGTTTTTTTCCCCACCTGAGGTGTTTTGGCCTGTCCTTTTCAGGTACTGACTGACACATGCTACACCAAACCTCAGAGAGGCATAGTTCTCCTCTTTTCAATATACAACAGGGTGGCTGTGAGATTTTTTTTTTTCTTGTAAAGAAGATGTGAAGATGCAAATATCATTATGATCCTGAAAGCAGGCTACAAAATGTAGTTCAGAGTAAGTATATTACCCTTTTAAAGAATGCAAATGAGCTGTGAAGGGCCTTTCTTGGACTGTACTGAGATGTTTGTTTTTCTTTTTCCATCATCACTATTAAAGTAGATACTCTTATCTCAGCCCCCCAGATCTAACAAACAAAGAAACTGGGTGCTTGTTAAAATATGCTTTTTAACCTGGGACATGATATTTTACAATCCATAAATGCCTTTTTCTTACAAACAACCCTTTAAGAATATACAAAGAGGTTCTGTAAGCAGGTTTTCAGCAATTCCATGCAGCGCAGCAGACAATTCATAAAGCTGTTTGAGCCTAGATATTGGCAGTGACAGCCCCAGTGGGGCTGCATTATGGCTGAAAGGCAAAAGAGTGATGTAATGTGTTGGCATAAGTATCCCAGAAAGCATCTTCCTGTGGCATCCATTACTTTTGGCAGAGAAATGGCGATGACACACCTCCCAATGGCATATCCTCCCAATTTGAAGTGGATGAGTGAGAGAGATGCAGTGAAGCCAATGCTGTAGATGAAAACAAAAGAACAGTTCAGCCTTTGAGAGGAAAGCATGAAATACCAGACCCTAGCTGAGCTACTTAAGCCAGGGGTGTGGAACCTCTCTCAGGCCAAATTTAATTTTGCAGAAGCTCTTGGGGATTCCATGCCAGTGGTGAATGGGACCAAATACAAAGGGGTGGGACCAAGATACTAAAATACCAACATATCTGTGCTTAAAGCTCTTATGCCACCAATCAGGCTTTAGGAGAGGCATTGCAGCCTTTTCAAATGTGTAGCTGGGAAATCACCAATGATCAGTGCTTGGGGAAAAGTGGGTGGGACCAGAGCTAGGTGCATGACCACCAGGGGAACCTCAGAGAGTCCAACTGGGACTCCAAGCAGGGCAGATTTAGCCTGCCCCAGCCCAAGAATTTATCTATTGACTGATTGATTTATATGCTGCCTTTTTCCTACAAAGGGCTCAAGGCAGCTTACATCATTCTCCTCCTCCATCTTGTCCCCACAATAACAACCCTGTGAGGTAGGTTATTATTATTATTATTATTATTATTATTATAACATTTCTATGCCGCCCCTTGCCGAAACCTCGGGGTGGCTTACAACATGATAAAATACATTGAAATACAATAGTACATAATAAATTACCATTAAATATAAAATACAAAAAATACATTGATTTACAAATATAAAATTAAAATTATCAGTATAAAATAAAAATATAGGAGGAGAAAGAGAAGGAAGAAGAAGTTGCCCTGGCCAGATCATATGTTTTAACAATTGAAATGATGTTTAAATAAAAAGGTCTT